ACAAAGCTTTTCTAAATAAAGGAAGAGGGGCTCAAGGGAGGGGAGGGGCATGGGGAAAAATAAGAATCAAGCTATATCATGTACAGGTAAAAATTCCCTATGATGAATGTGATCATTATTTATATCTAAAATGTACCAATATACTTAATTAATTGAAAAAAAAGATGGGAAGAATTTGTCTTTAAGTCACAAATAAAAATTTTTGTGCACTTGGTCTTCATTTCCTACCCATAATTATGCAATTCTTTCTTATTGACAGGGAACACCCATGGCATGTCTGTATATAACCTTAAAAATCATCTTTAGGCCATGTCTTGAGTGTATGTGTAAACATTCAAAAGGGTAAAATTCTATGTACACATCAGCAACTTTTATCATTTTAATAGTGGTGACTAGTTTCGATTGCTTTAAAGAGTCATATACTTAAGAAATACTGGCATTTCTCAGGATTCTAAAATAATAACATTCATTTTACTGGTTATGAAAATTGTCTGGACTGCTGGGAACCAAGAGAAAAGCATTCCCACAGGATTTGACTATCAGCAAATCTGTTTCAGTTTCCTGTTCTGGCCTCCCTACCTATCATCTGCATGCCCCTGCCCCTGCTGACAGGTTGCTCCTTTCTTTTGCCACAGGAAAACTGTCCAGCCTCTTTTTCTAACATTTTCAGGACCCGCCTGACAGGAAATTTTCTAGTTGCTGGAACAGCTGGTAGGAGAAAACTTTGAAGGGGCTTGGCCTTCCCTTTCTGACTTAAGTTTTATCATCAGAAATTCCTTTATCACCAACATGATTTCATAGCTATGTTTAAATTTTTGTCTTTTCGTGTTCGCTCTATACAGGTAAGCTTTCTTCAACTCCTTTTAAAGAATAAAATGTTTTAATTGGAACTACCTGTAATTATGCTAAATAGTCATTCCATTTTATATGTTAAACTTTTCAAAATTCAAAACTAATTTTGATAGAACTTTTAAAGGACAGTATTTTTATTTATTAAAAGTAAGCCACTTAGGTATATTATACATTTCAGCTCTTGGTATTTTGACAACTTATTTTTACATTGGCTTTTTTATGCTGGGGTAATTTTTATCTTGCTAGTGTTTGTAATTTTGGAAAATAAAGCGAGTGACTTTAACTCTCAGTATTAAACCAGGAATTAAGGGAATTGCAAACTTATTAATTTTAGGGGATTATTATTATATAAGCAATATTTTGACAGGTAGGAGAGTGTGTTATTTTAAGTAGCCAAGAATTTAAAAGGAGATTTCTGCTGAAATTTGTTCCTGTAAAAACTTGAAAGTTTTTAAGCAGCTCTATATTTAAGTAACCTTAAGCAAGTAATTTTATCTGACTTAGAGTAGGCACAATTTTCAAAGAATTACTTTGTTAAAAGTAGGTTTAGTGGATGATAATTTGCATTATATTTAATGTGAAATCCTGCCAAAATCAGCTTGATATTTTGCCATGAGAGTTGTGCTATCCTGCTACTCTTTAAAGAGAATTAAGTTTGCCGATTAGGATTCCCACTTGGGAGAGAACTGCTTTTCAGGGTAGTGATTGAGAATGTTAATCTGGAGAACCAGCAATGCTGTTGTCTCAAACATATAAGACGCTTAAAGAATTTAATTAAATGAAAAAAACTAAGCATATTTATCATTCCATTACCAAATGAAGTAAATTGGATTTGATCAAATTATAATGCCAAGTAATTTTTATGTATCTTGATAATCTGAAAAAGACAATTAACATCTTTTTCAAATAAAAACATATTATAGAACTATGGTATCTCTATAGACGGTGATCCTTTAACTGCTTTAGTTTAAAGTTACCTTTAAAAGGGGTAAAGTACTCAATTTTCATTTGTAAGGTCTTGTTTATGTTACACCAAAAAAAGTTTTACACATCCATGGTTAGAAAATATTTTTTATTGACTTTTACCAAGGAACATTAAAAAATTTTACTTCAAGCTTTAATACTATTTTCTGACATTCAAAACAATTTAGAAAATACAAATGCCTCAAGAACACACTTCCTGACACAAGGGCGGGGAGGAAAAAGGAAATTACATATACAAGGCAGGGCATAATGCCAAATGTTGAATCATTCTTTAAAATCAGTTAATATCACCCAGTTTGTTTCTTAATGTTAGTATGTTACAATATTAGGTTTTTAAAATACACAACATTAATTTAAGTTCCTTTCCTTTAATCCTTTTATATTTTAGGGTCAAGATTGTGTGTGTGTGTATATATATATATATATATATTTTTTTTTTTTTTTTTTTTTTTTTTTTAAACAGGGTCTCACTAGCTGGCCTTGAACTCACTGTGTATGTAGCCCAGGCTAGCCTCAAGCTCGTGGCAATTCTCCTACCTCAGCCTCCCAAGTGCTGGGATTACAAGTGTACACCACCACACTAGGCCAAGATTAAATTTTTTTCCTCACAACTTGAAATATTAGCTTAGGGCTGAGGATTTAGCTCAGTGGTTCTGCCGCCTGCCTCGCAAGCGCAAGGCTCCGAGTTCGATCTCCGCTACCAAAAAAAAAGGTTAATTTTCCCCAAAAGGGTGAAAACCTTAAAGACTATTTAAGAATGTTAGTCCTAGGTGTTCAGTATCCTTAAGATATTAGTGACAAATATCTGAAAGAGATGGAAATATAAAAGAATGGTGATCATTTCTCGGCCTTTTGCTAAAACTAAGTGTATAAAAGAATGATACAGGATTATGATACAGTTTTGTGACCAGTTTCAAAATTTTGCCTACAATCAGATCTTTGCTTATCAAATGAACATATAGTTTGTAAAAATAATAATATGGAATTTGTAACTATGTTTTAAATATACAAAGTAATGCTGGGCATGTTGGCACTTGCCTGTAATCCCAACACTTGGGAAACTGAGGCAGGAAGATTGTTTAAGGTAAGCCTGGGTTGCATGGTGAGTGCAAGGCCAGAACGGACTGTATAGTGAGACTTTGTCTCCAGAAACAAAATGTACAGAGTCAGTTTTGTGTGTGTATGTGTGTGTGTGTGGTAACAAATGGACAAGTACACATGTATCATATAAAATAGAATGAGCAATTATAAGTACCCTAATTTATTGACAGAATTGTTTTTTGGTGAAATTGTAGCTGCTTCACTATGTACTTATAGGCAAAAACAATTTTACAAACTGTCAAACTGTTGTGTGTTTTTGTATGACACTTATATCAGTAACAGGCAATTTAGTGAGATAAGATATGTTTGTCACATGCACATATTAGTATGTTCTTGGCTTATCATTGCCTTCAGAAATTTGATATTCCTCTTTGCATCCATCTTATTGGATTCCAGGTATGAGCTAGAACACATTGTTGCTTTCCTACCTGCTCCCCAAGATTGTCCAACTATTAGTGTTGAGTCGTAGTTGAACTGTAGATCATTTCTAAAATACTCATTGCCCCATGACATGTACCAAACCAATATTAGGAGATGGTTTTATGGTTGGCAAAGTTCCAAGGGAATCCAAAATGATTAAGCCACCTAAGTAGTAGGATAACCTCTAAACTATAAGTTCTGTCTTAGAAATTAAAATGGAAGTTCCAATTCCTCTTTCTTCTGGGAGCTTCTTTTTCCTTTTACTGCTCATTTTTAGAAGCTAAACATTAGCATATCCTAGTATAATTTTTTGAGAAATCTTTATAATTCTTTATATTGCCAACATTCTAAAGGTATCTCAGAAAATCCAAATTGAGCTCAAACACTTGTATGGACTACTACAGTAATAAAAATAATGAAATATTTATGTTTGCGTAACACATTTAGATTCTTCTGATAGTACTTATGTACCTAGAAAAATAGCAGTATAGTCAACAAAATAGAATAGTACAGTAGACCCTTGAGTTACAACTGGCCTGACATATGAATAACTTGGGTTACAACTGGAATACATTGGGAAGATTATTGGTGTTTTTGGTAAATTATGCACATTATACAACCCTTTTTTGTTATGAAAAGGTTAGTTAAGTGTTGCTTGGGGAGGTTTGGAATGCATTATGGATATTTCCATTATTATGGGAAAAATAATCTTGACTTACAACCAACTTGAATTACAACCAGCCCTTGCAAACAAATTGAGTTCATAAGTCAAGGGTCCACTGTAGTCTCTACTTGACAGGCTTATATTTCTGGTTTTGTTAGATTTTCTTTTTATGTTGTTTTTGACTGTAACATAATTGTCTTTATTAAAGTGTACTTTATCTGCTGATATCAATATAAATGATTGAAATCCTATGTATGAAATCCTATTTCCTCCTCTTCTAATACCTTCCCTCAGATATACTAAAGTGTCTGCTGTCTTTAATCCTTTCGTAGCCTGAAGACTTTTTACTCTTTCATTATGCAGAATAGTCATTTTTTCATGTCTAATTCTCCATCCAAATGTTAAATCTTTTTTGATTTTGTGTTTTAGAATTGTTCCTTTCTCCTCTCTCAGATCCCAAATTATTATTTCAAGCAATTAAAAATTTCAGTGTGCTTTCTTAAACATTTTTATTAAGGGTAGATCTCTCCATATTTGCCTAGGAATATTTTTCAGCCTCTCTCCCCAATAAACAGGGTCTTTGTATATAGCATTTGTTTTGCCAAGTACAGCCATAACATGGTGTATTACTATAATCTGTTATTTTCAGACTTCTTCACACCCTCTCCCCTCCCTCCGAAACTATTCTAATTATCTCCTGTAAAGAGAATGAAAACTTGGAAATACTCAATGCTGATACCATGTAGAAGTTAAATTGCACTATATAATGGGCTTGTATAATTCTGTCTCTGGTATATAACTTAAGAGTATATTTGCTGGGCATGTTTCCCATCACTTGGTAGGTCAGTAAAGGGTGGTTTTTGTATATTAATTTGAGGATTTCTAGTGTTATGCTAAATTAAGATTTACATGATTTCTAGCAGGAAAAAGTAACTCTGATTAACTCAGTATTTTCTCCCCCTTACATTTACTTCAATAGGAAGAAGGCAGCATCAAAGAAATTGCAATCACACATCATGTAAAAGAAGGACATGAAAAAGCAGATCCTTCCCAGTTTGAACTTTTAAAAGTATTAGGGCAGGGATCATTTGGAAAGGTAAGTCATGAGTATGCTCTTTTTTTTTAACTGTTTATAGAAGTAGAAAGTAGACTAGTGGTCACTAGAAGCTAGGAAGAGAGAAGGGGATAGAATGAAATTAAACAGCTATCAAAATACATTTAGTTACAAAGTAAGATTATGATCCAGTGTCCTACAGCACAGTAGGGTGACTATAATTCACAACAATTTTATTATATACTTTTTTAAAACCTAGCAGGGTATGGTTATATGCCTGCCATCCCAGCTATTTGGGAGGCTAAGGCAGGAGGATCGTGAGTTCAAGGCTAGCATGGGCAACTTAGTGAGATCCTATCCATACATAAAAATTTTTAGGGCCAGGGATTTAGCTCAGTGGTTCCGTCGCCTGTCTCGCAAGCACAAGGTCCCGAGTTCAATCCCTGGTACCAAAAAAAACCCAAAAAAACTGTCAGCACCATCATACATAAAGATTTTTTAAGATTGAGAATATAGCTCAGTGGTAGAGCTCTTGCCTAGCATGTTTGAGCCCCTGGGTTGGATCCTGTAATGGCCAGGCCTGTAATCCCAGCAACTCTGGAGGCTGAGTCAGAAGGACTGAGGAATTTAACAAGACCCTGACTCAAAAATTAAAAGGGCTGGGCGGGGGATTTAGCTCAGTGGTTCCGCCGCCTGCCTCAAAAAATAAAAAGGGCTGAGGAATGTAACCTAGTGCAAAAGCACTGGCCTAGCTGGGTTTAATTCCTGGTACTACAAAAGGAAAATAAAAATAAATACATACAAAAACTAGAAGAGAGAAATTTGAAGCTTCCCAACATAATTATAAATGTTTAGGAAGAGAGAAATGCTAATTACTCTGATTTGATCATTATATATTGTGTACATGTATCAAATGTATATCCATATATTTATGCACCTTACAGAAAGAAAAGAAGGTAAAGTATCGGTTAAAAGGTCACAAGAAACCAGGGATTTAGCTCAGTGGTTCTGCCACCTGCTTTGCAAACACAAGGACCTGAGTTCGAACCCCAATACAAAAAAATTAAATTAAATTAATTTTTTTTAAAAAGTCACAAGATCCCAATGATGAATGTAACTGTATTGTATACCTAAAATGTACCAATAAACTTAATAGAAAAAAAGTCACAAGAAACTAAATGAAATTTTAAATTAAAACTGGGATAAGGAAAGTTGATTTTTGGAATTCATGTGTATTTCATATACATGGGAAAATGGAAATACTTTATGAAATACCCCTAGTCTCTTACCAGCAGTGTTTTCCATGTTTTACATTTCTCAGTATCAATAAGTATGGAACATGAATAGTCATTCAAAAGTACATTGTAAACTTTGGAAAATTTGCAGTATTTACTTCATACTCATTTTATCTTCGAGACCTTGATTTAAAATAAAAAATAAAAGGGCTGAGCATGTAGCTCAGTGGTACAGCCGATTAGCACAAAACAAAACAGATATTATTGACTAGAATGCAAATTTTGCACTCATTTTTAAATGCATCACCTTCTAACCTCATACGAGAACTCAAAAAGAGGTCAGAATATCAAAGAAATATCTTGTGGTTTTTAATAATTCCAGAAGTACAACTAGATAGATCATGTTGTCTTGAAGATAAAAACTTGTGATCCTTCTGACTCAGCCTCTGGAGTATCTGGAATTAATAAATGTGCACCACAGTGCCCAGCTTTGTTTTTTAATATTAAAAAATGTTTACCAAAGCTACCAAATAATTGCTTCAGAAGATAGGACATCTTTATCAGTTTTCTCCAAATAATCCTTGTCCCCCTGCTGCACACCTCAGGGGTGAAGTCTTTTCCTCCATTTTAAGAAATATAGCTAGTGTAATTACTACTGCTAGATCTATCTAGACCAGTTCTCAGCAAGAGGAAACTTCTGAGATTGTATTCAACTCTTACATACAGTCATCCCTTCTCTATAAGAAAACATTTGAAGATGTCATCCTTTGCAAGCTTCAAAACAGTACCATTTTGGCACTCCTCTGTATTTTAGTGGGACTGTTTAGCAATTCTTGGCTAACATAGGTAGTTTCTTTTAGTTGTTAATCTCTTTCAAACTCAAAGCATGCTTTTAATCCAAATATATACCAAGTAGCCAGCAAAGCATAATCATTGCAACTTTAGACTCTAGGTCAGCCAGCCTTGGATTTAATTTTTTTTCATCTACTTACTGTATATTCTTAAGCAAATTATTTAACCTTTTGGGGCCCCATTTTCTTCTTGCCAGTCATTAAATATTGAAGTTCCTCCAGGTTGGATTCTAAGCTACCATCCCTTTATACCTGTATACCTCTTACTAATTGATTTGCTCTACCTTGTCACATATTGCTGACATAACAGATTTTATCTCCAATCTAAATTGTTCTAAATCTAAATTGTTCCTCTAAACTCAGAATGCTAATTATAGCTACTTACTTTCCCCTCCCTCTCTCTCTCTCCTTCCTCCCCTCTCCCTCTCTCTCTCCTCTCCCTCTCTCTCCTCTCTCTCTCTCTCTCTCTGTCTTTGTTTTTCTTTCAGTGCTGGGGATCAAACCCAGGACCATACACATCCTAGGCAAGCACTTGCTCTACCACTGAATTACATCCTCAGCCCTTTCTTATTTTTCCTATTTGTATATCTCAAAGGTACTTTAACTTCAACATGTCTAAGACCAAACTCGTGATGTTCTCCCATCCCCAAACCTATCCTATTTCATTTTTCTCTTGTCACTATGAGTGGCATCCAGTTAAGCAAGCCAGAAACTTGGGAGGCATTCCTGACATCTCTTTAAAGTCTCCCTCCAAGACATATGCATGCACACATGCACACATACATGTACTCATACACACCCTACCACCCTGGCCAATCTGATCTGTCACCAAATTCTGTTGATTTAATACAGATTTCTACAATCATGGCAGTCCTCTCCGTCATTGCCACCTTTCCAGCACATGCTACCACTTTATCCCTGGTATATTAAAAGGATCTCCTTAACCGAGCCTTCCAAAATTTATTCTTGCCTCAATCCATTATTAACATGACAGCTAGCATGAGCTAATCATAAACTCTACCCCTTCTGTAGCCTCCCTTTGGTTTTATGATAAGAACAAATTCTTGAGATGGCTGAGGAGCCCCACTCTGACCCTATGTACTTCTAAAATATCATTTTATATACTTTTCATTCTCTGTATTCTGGCCACACTGGTCACCTGTTTTTGGTCCTTAAGCATTCCAGGCTCCATCCCACTAGAAAGTCTTTCCTCCTCCTATTCTCTGCTTGATACACTTTGCCCCACCTCCAGCCCTTCCTCAACTGATTAGCACCTCTTATGCAATTGTTTATTGACACACACACATACACACACCGCAAACTATATATTTCATGAGTGCAGTGGCCATGGCTCAGCGCTGAACTGGTAGCATAGTGCCTAGCATATAACTCTGGAAAGAATTAATAAACACTAGTCATGACCTTATACGATAGTAGTGAGAATTAAATGATCAAGGCCAAATACATGGTACTATCTTGTATTAAATTATATTAACATGCTACTTGATAAAGCCAAATACATGTGTTTATTTTTATACATTAGATTTCAGGGAACACAATATTTAAGTTTATAGGAATTAGCATGCTTCTCCCTTTATTGCTTTAAAAGTAATTTAAATACCTGTTAAACACTTGTTGTTTATAAATAGCAAGCATTAAAAATAGGTTGTCTCCTTTATTACCCATTCTAAAAGGCCAGTTTAAGCCAAAGTAACAGAGATGACCTGTCAGGTCCTAGAATAGCTTCACGGAAGAGTATCTGAAATGTACTCATGGAAGAAGGTCAGGTGGCAGCTGGAACTACTGCTGCTTCTGCTGAGCATGGTTGGTCACCGGCCAAAGGGAACAGATACAGAATGCCCTGAGCAGAAGCCCAGGACTGGGTAACTACCCAGATCTTGTCCCAGTACCTCCACTATAACACCAGGCAAATCATTTAATGTCTCTAAGCTCTAATTTGGGCATCTATAAAATAGGCCTTATTTAGTAGGCCTGCTTCCCAAGTTGTCATCCTGATCTATTGCAGATGCTTGTGAAAGTACCGTGAGGTAAGGAGTGCTGAAAAGTGTTAAGAAAGTGCTTTCAAAAGCTGTTGAAGAAAGTTTGGAATCCACAAGGAGAATTTTTCTTATAGAATAAAACAAAGAATCTTGATTGAAGAATCTTAAGGATGAATACATATCAGATAAATCCCAATTAATCTACCTAATTAAAATTTGTTTCTGTTCAAAACTATCAATCTCTTAATGACCTTTAACATTTAACAGCAGTCCACCTTAGAACTGCCTTAGTTACGAATGCTTTTCTTAAGGGCCGGAGATTTAGCTCAGTGGTTCCGGGGCCTGCCTCACAAGCACAAGGTCCCAAGTCCGATGCCCAGTACCAAAAAAAAAAAAGAAAGAATGCTTTTCTTTCCCTAGATGAGCTCCCCATAACTGACTGAAAAGAGCTAAAGAGTAGGTCTTGGTGATGGGGGAAGGACTTGATTCTAGGAGAGCAGCACACTTCTACTTTAGGGATTCGGTGTGAGTTGTGGGTGCTCTTCAGTTGATCCCATTTCCCATTGCCTTGGTACTGTTCTCAGATCAAGATAGTCTCCCTTGCACTAGAATTTATTGAGAGAATTCATTTTGTGATTATGTGCTAGTAGCCTGGTATGCTAAATCAAATAATTTAGAGTTGATCCTAAGGTTATTCTTGATTGTAGTTGCTTCTCCCCAACTTTGGCAGCACAAGAGCACTGCTACAAAAGAATCGGTAGAGGGCTGGGCATGGTGGTGTATACCTATAATCCCAGCACTCTGGGAGGCTGAGGCAAGAGGATTACAACTTCACATCCAGCCTGGGCACTTTAACAAAGCGAGATCATGTCTCAAAAGTGGGAGGGGGGAGTTGGAGCTGGGAATGTAGCTCAGTGAAGAGGCCCCGGGCTCAATCCCCAGTACTAGAAGGGAGGGGAAGGGAGAGGCGGGAAGGAGGGAGAGAGAGAGAGACAGAGAACAAACTATTTCTGATGTGGGGCTGGGGATATGGATGAGTGCTTGCCTAGCATGCATGAGGCCCTTGTTTGAGCCTCAGCACCAGGGGAAAAAAAGATTGGGCCCAAAAGAATTTTTGGTTGGTTACAGTGAGGGTGGACCTTTTAGAGACAAATGCCCAAACTGCAACCCCAAATCCACTTATTTATCGCAAAGTGCCAACACTGCAATTAAACCTGAATGCTGAGGTTTTAGTTTAGAAAAACAACTCATACATTAGCATCTTTTGTCTTAGAAGAAAAACAACACAATAAGAACCAAGTTGTTGGGCCGGGGATTTAGCTCAGTGGTTCTGCCGCCTGCCTCACAAGCACAAGGACCCGAGTTCGATCTCCGGTACCAAAAAAAAAAAAAAAAGAACCAAGTTGCATCATGTAAAGGTACAAGTTCCTAATGAGAAATGTAAATGTGTTGTATACCTGAAATGTACTAATAAAAGAATTTAAGAAAAAAGAAAAACAACACATGTGCCATAGGTTCATCACTACTGAATCCTATGCTATACTTTCAACATACAGAGATTTTCTCTTAATTGCTACATATATAAAGACCTTTTTCTCTCTCAGTGTACGAGGGTGATCAAAATGTATGTTGAGGGCCGGGGATTTAGCTCGGTGGTTCCACCACCTGCCTCGCAAGCACAAGGTCCCGAGTTCAATCCCCAGTACCAAAAAAAAAAAAAAATGTATGTTGAATGTTTAACCACTTAACATTTTACCCCGAGCATCACTTGGGCAGCACCTTTGTTTACATACTGACGATCCCAAGCATTGCTCAGGCAGGTATCATTTCAACCAGTCAATTCTTGTATTGAATAAATTTGATAAAATTGTCATTTTTGTATTTCATGTTATATTATACAAAAGAAGAAAATATGCAATTTTTAGTCATCCTGTATTTAAATAATTGGGCTGGTAAGTGGTTAAATTTTTAAAAATTTATTGCAGTGAAAGTAACGGTGCCATTAATCCCCCTCAAAATACTACTCTTTTCTTAGAACACATTTACTGCATCGTTCTTGACACTTTCTGAAGCAGTTCTGGAAGTCCTCTTTCCTGGGTGTCTGCAAGATATGATCCAAAATTATTATTTTTATGAATGCTACTGCCGAGTGCCATCCAACAGAAAGGAAGGCTCATAAAAACATTACGGTGTGTCTTCAGCCACGTTACTCACTAGATACAGCACCATGGTACTTCTAGCTCTTGCCCAAAGTAAAAATGACCATGAAAGGTAAACATTTTAAATTGATTCTGGATATCAAGGTACCCACAACAATGCAGCTAAAGACACTCATGAAAAAGGACTTCCAGAACTGCTTCAGAAAGTGGTAAGAATGATGAAATAAATCTGTTCAAAGAAAGGGGAAATGTTCTAAGGGGTTTAATGGCAATGTAACTTTTACTGTAATAAATTTTTCTAATTTAAACATTAAGTGTATGTTTAGATCGTATCTCCTATTACATGCTCTTTGAGGCCTGGCAAACAACCAAATAAAAATTGTGTTCGCTTACATAAACACCCCACGTTATAACCATTGTTTACAACCTCTATAATGTGTTAGGATTTGCATAATAATTTTATTATGGCAGGGATCTTACATTCACAAAGGTATATAGTGTGTAATATTTTGTAACATTTATTTTCTCTTATTTTAAATATAGGTTTTCTTAGTTAAAAAAATCTCAGGCTCTGATGCTAGACAACTTTATGCTATGAAGGTATTGAAGAAGGCCACGCTTAAAGGTAAGTGCTGCTGCTGTTTGTAATGTTCATGTGATCTAAACAAACTGAAAGGTTTTTGTTTGTCTGTTTGTTTGTTTGTTTTCGGTACCAGGGATTGAATTCGGGTCCTTGTGCTTGCAAGGCAGGCAGCGGAACCACTGAGCTAAATCCCTGGCCCACAAACTGAAAGTTTTCTGTATAACTCTTGTGACTCTAGGCCACTTACTTACATCCTGAATTGGTTGTTACTAGCTTTAAATTTAGACTGACTTATTGTGAATTTTTCCTACTACACTAGGAATCATATGACTAGTGAGAACAGGAATTGCCATATTGTAAAAGAAGTATTATAAATTCATTTGGGCAAGTAGAAGCTGTGAACATTAAAATTGGATTTGATGCATCTTCAAATTAATATAATTAATGTTTTAAAAACTTACTGATTTACTGGAAGCAAAATAGCTTTTGTTCTTTTTTTTCTTTTGAAACAGGGTCTCACTGTGTAGTTCAGGCTGACCTTGAACTCACTATGTAGCCCAGGCTGGCTTCCAACTCATGGCAATCTTCCCGTCTTGGCCAGCTGAGTGCTGTGATTACAGGCATGCGCCACCACGCCCAGCTAAAATAGCTTTTATTCTAAATGACTTTATCATCTTGACCTCTGGTCTCCACATAAATTTTTATTCTGAGCCTATGATTTTGAAAAATCTAATGCAAGATCCAAGAAAGGAGCGAGTTTTGTCAGATATTAAAATTTACTTAAAGCATCAGTAATTCAGTGTGTTATTGGTGAAAATAATACAAACATAGAAGTCAGTAGAACAAAATAGTACAAAGTATATGTTAAATTTTATTATATTTGCTACAAATATTGAGTACCTGCTGTCCTCTATAACAAAGCAGTTGTATAAAATGATGGGAAATTAAATAATAACTTCCCAAATTGGGTTTGAAATACCCCTGAGCAACCTGTAAAACAATTAAAAGTTTTTCCTTAAGTCCTATAGTAACAAACTCCAACCTATTTATCTCTAAAAAATAAAAACCCCTAAAAGAAATAATACAACTCGATTATTATACCTAAAAAATTAACATACAGATGTCCAGAGTTCAAATTTCCACTTGTCCCTACTGTTGTAATTCATTTTCCTTCATGTTTGAACCAGGATCCATACTTAGCAATTGATTTATCTCTTTAAGTCTTCTCATTTCCATTTCTTGTTTTTTTTTCTTGTAGTTTATTTGTTCAGAATACTTGTTCCTTCCCTACACCTCCCTTTTTGAGGCTTCCTGTTCTTATTTCATGGGTGCCATATCATCTCTGATAGTCTTTTTCTGCTATCTTCATTGTCTGTCTCCCTTTATTCTTTTTTTCTCCTGTTTTATTTTGCTGTTTTTTTGTATTTATAGCCTTTTCTCAAATGTCTAGTGATCCTTTGCTATTTTTTCTCTCACTTAGGAGTGAGGTACTGAAAAGCTGATTGAAAAGGATGTTAGGCTTAGATTTTAGCTTTCTCTAATCTGTTGTGATAATTACCATTGACACATCTTCTGCTGCTTCCTCTTCTTCTGTCCTTTGTTCTTTTGAATTTATGAATATAGTAGTCCCCCTTTATCTTCAGCTTTGCTTTTTTTAGTTTCAGTTATGTGCAGTCAACAATGATCTGGCAATATTAAAGGGAAATTTTCAGAAATAAACAATTGATAAATTTTAAATTGTGTGCCATTGTGAGTAGTATGATAAAATCTTGTTCTGTCCCACCTGAGACATGAACCATCCCTTTGTCCAGCATATCCATGCTGTATACACTACCCATGGCCCAGCAGTCACTTAGCCATCTTATTTGTTAGATGGTTATTGCAGTGCTTGTGTTCCAGTAACCCTAATTTTACTTAATAATGCCTCCAAAGCACAGAAGTGACATTCCTGCCCATTTGGACAAAGAGAAGCCATAAAGTGCTTCTTAAATGAAAAGGTGAAAGTTTAGTAAACGTTTTGAGAGAAACAAAGATCACATCACATAACTTTTATTATAGTCTCTTGTTAATAGTTTTTTATTTTTTGTTTTATAATAGTTACTATTGTTAATTTCTTACATACATAATTTATAAATTAAACTTTATGATATTTATAAAATAAACTTTATGTATGTATAGGGAAATACATAGTGTATATAGGGGTTAGTACTATTCAAAATTTCTAGGAGTCTTACCGTTTATCCCTCACAGATAAGAGGGTACTACTATAATTTTTCCATTAATGTCATTTCAATGGGATTTGGGAAGAAGGTAGAGAGTAAAACATAGATGTTTAACCAGAAGTTTCTTTCCATTTTAAAGTCCCTATTAATAGAGTAAGTGGAGTCAAATAGAAGTCAATGACATTAGGTCAAGTTAATGGGGAATTTTGCCCTATTAAAGTTGGTCTGTCAGACTAAAAGGTTTTATAAACCAGCCTAAAAGTTTCTTAATACATAGTCCTAGAATCATAGGCAGCATTTCTTATTTACTCTTAGGTTGAAGTCAAAGAGGGTTTAAATGTTATAACTGTCAGAAGAAGCTAGCTGATTTGCCAGCTTGGATAAGTATTAACAACAGGGTTTAAACAGCGTTTAGCAGTTGACTGGTGTAAAACATGACTTCTTCTGAACTAGTATATACTAATATAAATGCCTGGTTGTAGCATGATTTATATTTGTCACTAGGCCTTTACATAAGGACAAGAATCCACATTAGAATTATTACATCCTATCTCAGACAAAATGAAAAAATTCTTTATAGTGAGTGAATCTTACTGCTCATTTTCAGATAAACAAGGTCTTGTCAATGTTACTTGTAAGGAAATGTAGAACTGTCTCACAAAATAATCATAATCAGAAGAAAATCATCTTGTTGAATCCCCTCATTTTATAGAGGACCAAACAAGTTCCTGGGCAATGAAATAATTTGACCTAGATAATTCATCTAGTTACATGGCCACTAAACCATATAATTTTTTTTTCATTGTGGAACAATGATCAAAAATAATATATTGTGGATGTATTGGTGGTATTTTCACTGATTACTGAGCTGAGGAGTGGTTTTTAAATGATACACTTTGTATACTTATTGAAAGAGGTAGAAATTTTTAATCCAGTTTTAAGGTAATGGGAACTAATCCAAGATTTTAAAGGTAACAGTGGAAAAAGAGCAGATTTAAACTAGATTAGCAGGCCTTGGTGATTAACTTCGTTCATATAAAAATAGAAAGAGCGTGTTAGATATTATAAGGTTGATACCAGATTTATAGTGATAGGATAAGGTAATAAAACTCACAGATCGATATTGAATTTGATATGCTAGCTGGAAAAGTCAGTTAAGACAGCTGTGCAAACCCCAAGAACATTGAGTGCTCACTTTAGCAGCACATATACTAAAGTTGGAAAGAACGATTGATTTGTATTCCTGACTTTCCCATTTTCAGTCAGCTGGCACCAAAATCTCCCAGTTAGCAGTAGAAAACTTGTAGATTTTTTTACCTCTTTCGTTTTCCCCAGATATTTTATTTCTATGTTTTAAATATCTGTTGTTACCCTAAATTCCAAATAAAACCAACTCGCCTTTCTCCCTGTCCCCACTTCCCCCAAAAAATATTCCCATTCTTTCTAGCCTAATTGTTCACACAGTCATTGAGTATTTTTTATAAGAATGTGTTCTACTCATTATTTACATGTCTGTCATTGCCACTATGTTATGAGCCTTATGAGGATTATCTTATTTGTATTTATATTCCTAATGCCTAGCACATAGACTTTGCTCGGGAAATGTTTATTTGAAGAGAGCTTTGCCCACAAGATCAAACATAAATTCATCCTGGGCCAGGGATTTAGCTCAGTGGTTTCACCGCCTGCCTTGCAAGCACAAGGTCCCAAGTTTGATCCCTGGTATCAAAAAAAAAAAAACCCCATAAATTCAGCCTAGTGTTCTAACCAAGAATCTAGATCCTCCCTATTTCATGGCCCCTATAGTAAACTTCTGATTTGAGCCCTTCTGTTCATCGTTAATGCCTCCATTTCTTTATTTATGTTGACATTGCATTTCTGGTCTTTTCTAGGGCCTATCTTTCCAACCCTAAATTCCATTGGAAAAGTTTTAAAGCTTATGCCCTAACTCTGACTCTTTCCTCTAGCCTTCCTATGTAGGTAAAACTAATCTTGCCCTTCTCTAAATTTTTTATCCCTCAGTCATATTCATAGTGCTAGTTTTGGATATAAAAATGGTAGCTATCACTTAACATACCAGGCTCTGGGTATAAACCTTATTTGAAATGGTCACATACACTCCTGAAGGTACAGTGGTATAATCCTCATTTTATAGCTGAGAAGTAACTAAGATTCAGGGAATTTAAATAAGTAATTTACTCAATTACACAGATCTGAAACTAGATTTTCTAACTTCAAAAAACTGTTCTTTCAGGGCCAGGGATTTAGCTCAGTGGCAGCGTACCTGCCTCGCAAGCACAAGGTCATGAGTTCGAGCCCTGGTACCAAAAAAAAAACCAAAAAAACAAAAAACCTGTTCTTTCAGGTATACTACAGTATTTCCTTTTGCTCCCTCTTCCCTTTTCTCCCTACCTCAAAATAGACTTTTGCAAGCATATCCATCCTTTATTATATGTGCTACATTTTATAGATACTTCTTGAATGCATATTGAATTGAGTTGATAGTGTTCACAGAAGTGATGAAACCTATTCCAGTTTGTTGTTATATTTTAATATTTCATTCGAGTGCCTTGATTTTTAAAAGTTGCATGCTTTTTGCCATTTTTCACAACTTTGTTTAAAATGCTTGTAAATTTGATGTTAAGCCCAACACTTAATAGGTTCTCTGAATTTTTACCTTAAAGCACATATTTTATAAAGACACAATTTCTTTTGGTTGTATAATGTAGTAAAAGATATTTGTATTAATTTTGTAAATTCAAAAGCAATAAAATGTTCACATTTTTATACACATAAACAAATTTTATTTAAAATAAACACTAAAAATAACTTGTTTTTAACATTATCTTTGAAAATATTGCAATGTAGCATATGTACAATCTTTTGTAGTTCGGGACCGTGTTCGGACAAAAATGGAACGTGATATCTTGGTAGAAGTTAATCATCCTTTTATTGTCAAGTTGCATTATGGTAAGTTCTGAACCTTCTCCCACCTAATCCCTTTGTCTCATCCCCCACTTCCTGAGTACTTTCAGATATACTGTGTATATAAACATTTGCATATATTTGTATGTGTTTAGCAGAGGCATATATTACAGTCATGGAAATTTAACTATTATTTCTTAGACGAACATTAGAAGCTTTTGTTTATTTTAAATATTATAAAGTTAGTTTCTGAGTGGTAGCCACAAGAGTAGATAGCAATGATTACTTTTTTATTACAAGAAGTAATAATAATATATCAGCATTCTATAGGCTATATGTGTTAGCCCAACTTAAGGGCAAGAAAGATCTCTAATGTCAATATGCTAAAACTGTTACTACCTTTCTTTTCTCAAAAGATATATGCTTCTTAAGTGTGTAAAGGCATAATAATTCTTACTACATATAATTAAACCTGATTAACCCACATTTTTTGTGTAGTGGAATTTTTTTAAATTTTTATTTCATGTTTAAGTAAGACTTTTTCTGTTTGAAAGTATTTTTATTGATCATATGTTTAAAACTATTGTATTCCTGAGGTACTTATCTGTAGAAAATTTAGTGGTTCCATAGTAAGAAACAGTGCATTTAACATTTCCATGTGGAAACTAAATCAGTGGTTTTCTTCTAAGTAAGTTTAGATCTATGACTTAATCATAAATGTACTAAAATAATATTCATTTGTGAATAAATTGACCTAATGTAAACCTAAACAATAAACTACAATGAATTAAACAAATTTTCATTTCTTCATTCAGCTTTTCAAACTGAAGGGAAGTTGTATCTTATTTTGGACTTTCTCAGGGGAGGAGATTTGTTTACACGCTTATCCAAAGAGGTATATAATTAATGTCTCTTCTTAATCTGATTATACTCTTCCTGTTTCAACTAAAGCGTTGTTATATTTCAATATTATGCTTATCAGATTTTCTCTAGTGGCATAAGAGTCTTACATTGAAGAAACTGAGCCAAAAAGAGTTCTTTTCCTGTCTTTTGAATTTATCCTGAAAACAAGACTTTAAACCGACAAACTAACTTTGTCTTAACTCTGCTTTTCTTTTTTAGTTTTCTCAAAAATTATAACACATCAACAAGATATCCTTAATCAATAATAGCAATACAGCATGCATTGTAAAAATCATTTTTCATTTCTAAATTATTGTGTAGAACAATGGCACAAAGAAAATAGTTTTATTTATTACTTAAAATGTAAAATTAGGGCCAGGGATTTAGCTCAGGGGTTCCAGCGCCTGCCTCGCAAGTGCAAGGTCTCAAGTTCAATCCCCGGTACCAAAAAAAAAAGTAACATTATTTCTCCCACAGTGTATAGTTAACATTTAGTAAGTGATCGTATTTGTTCGTAAATTTATTTCATTAGTAAATTGTAAAGAAAGCTATGTCTAATTAGCATATTTGTAAATCATTGAATATATAAGCTCTAAAGTAAAACTTTAAAAATCACAGACACAAAACAATAATAGTAATAATGATAATAATAATACCTGTCTTTATTTTATTTTAGGTGATGTTCACAGAAGAAGATGTCAAATTCTACTTGGCTGAACTTGCGCTTGCTTTAGATCATCTACATAGCCTGGGAATAATCTACAGAGACTTGAAACCAGAAAAGTAAGGAATCATGCTGCTAAGCTGAATACCGTGTTTAGGCGATCATAAAAATAGTGATTTCATAGAACTCTCACAGCATTGCATTAGAGTACCTGTGCTTCACATCTCCGCTAACACTATATATTCTTATTCTTTTTGAATCTTGGTTAATCAAAAATATTATCTTGTTGGGCCGGGCATTTAGCTCAGTGATTCTGCCACCTGCCTCACAAGCGCAAGGACCCAAGTTCCATCCCCAGTACCAAAAACAAAACAAAACAAAAAGAAATAAAAAATGTTATCTTGTTCTCATTTTCATTCTTTGATTTTTAATGACGTTGAAATCTGTTTTGTTTATTGGAAATTATATTTTTGTGTGCATTTTCTGTTCATGATCTTTGCTAATTTTTCATTTAGACTGTTATTTTTCTCATGGGTTTATAAGAGAACTTTACAAATTAAGAAATTTTGGCTCATTGCGCAGTACTGCTAGTGGCTCCTCACTTCTGAGCCCCTACCTGGTAACTGTCACTTGTCCCTGGCTGTGTGGTGAGCCTTTATCCACGAGCCCTTAGGAGCTTGAGACCATGGCTACCTTTCTGACTCACCAGGAAAAAAAAACAATGATTGAAGCAGTGCACCCAGGAAAGCTCTTTATTGGTAGGCTTAATACAGAAACAAATGAGAAAGCCCTTAAAGCAGTATTTGGAAAGTATGGATGAATCGTGGAAGTACTCTTGATGAAAGACCGAGAAACCAATAAATCAAGAGGATTTGCTTTTGTTACATTTGAAAGCCCAGCAGATGCCAAGGATGCAGCTCGGGACATGAATGGAAAGTCCTTAGATGGCAAAGCCATCAAGGTGGAATAAGCCACCAAACCATCATTTGAAAATGGTAGACGTGGGCCACCTCCACCTCCAAGAAGCAGAGGCCCTCCCAGAGGTCTTAGAGGAGGAAGAGGAGGAAGTGGAGGAACTAGGGGACCTCCCTCACATGGAGGGCACATGGATGATGGTGGCTATACCATGAATTTTAACATGAGTTCTTCCAGAGGACCCCTTCCAGTGAAAAGAGGACCACCGCCGAGAAGTGGGGGTCCTCCTCCTAAAAGATCAGCCCCTTCAGGACCAGTTCAGAGCAGCAGTGGAATGGGAGGAAGAGCCCCTATATCACGTGGAAGAGATAGTTACAGAGGCCCACCTTGAAGGGAACCCTTGCCCTCTCATAGAGATGTTTGTCTCCAAGAGATGATGGATATTCCACTAAAGACAGAGATTACCCAAATTCTCGTGATACAAGAGATTATGCCCCACCACAAGAGATTATACTTACCATGATTATGGTCATTCCAGTTCATGTGATGACTATCCATCAAGAGGCTATAGTGATAGAGATGGCTATGGTCGGGATCGTGACTATTCAGACCACCCAAGTGGAGGTTCCTACAGAGATTCATATGAGAGTTATGGTAACTCACAAAGTGCTCCACCTACACGAGGGCTTCCACCATCTTATGGTGGAAGCAGTCGCTATGATGATTACAGCAGCTCATGGGACAGATATGGTAGAAGTCGAGACCGTTACTCAAGCAGCCAAAGTGATCTTTACTCAAGTGGTCTCGAACAGGTTGGCAGACAAGAATGAGGGCTTCCCCCCTTCTATGGAAAGGGGCTACCCTCCACCATGTGATTCCTACAGCAGTTCAAGCCATGGAGCACCAAGAGGTGGTGGCCGTGGAGGAAGCCGATCTGATAGAGGGGGAGGCAGAAGCAGATACTAGGAACAAACAAAACTTTGGACCAAAATCCCCATTCAAAGAAACAAACAAAAAGTGGAAACTATTCTGCCATAACTACCCAAGGACTACTAAAAGGAAAATCGTGTTACTTTTTAAAAATTTCCTGTTAAGTCCCCCTTCATAATTTTTATGTTCTTGTGAGTAAAGAAAAGTAAAACATGTTTAAGTTTGATTTTATGACTTGCTCTCAACAAGCAAATGTTTAAGTGTGTAAGACTTGACTTGTTGTACTAGTGTTGTAATTTTGCAAGTAAAAGAGTCCCTAAAGGCCACTTCCTGAATTTTCCCAGTAAATAAAGCGAGCAATTCTAAGATCTTCCACACATACCTAGCCATCTAGATATACATTGATCTCCATTGAGAGATGAACCATTCTGCCTGTACAGACAAGCTAGCTATTAGAGGGTGGTCGAGTACACTCTTAGGATTTCAGGGTATCTTCCAACTGAAATCTCCATGTTCTCAGTATGGAAAAGCCTGAGATCAGATACCTATGTAAGGAAAGTGCTATTCGCCCAGTAAACCCACAAAAGCAAATGGATAATGCTGGCCATAATTTGCCTTTCTGACATTTACTTGGAAATCTGCAAGAACCTCCCCTTCCCCTTCCCCCAGTAAGACCATTTAAGTGTGTGTTAAACAACTACAGAATACTGAATACAAAGTTTGGCCAAAACCAACCATGAACCTGCAAAGGATGCTTGCTCTTACTGTTTCAAATTTTTGCAACTCTGTAGTGTCTCACTTTTAAAGGAACAGCTTGATTGCAAAGGAGAAATAGATAAGCAATGAAGTTATCTCCAACTTCTGAAAGGCTTATGACTTCTAAAAAGTGAATCAATCAGCAGTCCACATCAGATTTAAAGCATCAAATGCCTGTGAAACAGCAAAGATGGTTGAGGACTATGGTCGTTGTAGTCATGGAGTGCTGATTTATTCACAGTAGATAAAGCTGGCATCGCGAAATCAAAATGCTAAGAGTTGTTGAAGCAGAAGAATGCTGACTATCAATAAGGCACAACACGCCGCCTGCCTTCCAAGAGGAAGGATCTGAGTTCGATCTCCGGTACCAAAAAAAAAAATAATAATAAGGCACAACAGTTGCATAAGCAGTGTTCATCAGAATTAGTTTGGCACAGGCAGTAGGTTTTGCCTTCCAGGGTTTTTGTGAATCTGAGGAAGGCATCAGTGTTGATTAACACTTAACTAGGGAGTGGTAGTTACTTAAAATTGACCAAATAGAGAAAGGGAAAGAAATTGGTAAGTGGAAGTACTCAGGAAGTTCTTGTGGCTATTTGTGTAGATTTATAGCTTTGGCTTTCATTTTATTTAGCTAAAGTCATGGAAGCAACTCTGCATTTTGGAAAAAATTCCACCTAATTATCAGAAAGTTGAATTAAGGGCTGGGGATAAGCACTTGCTTAGCATGTGTGAAGCCCTGGATTTGGTCACCCAACACCACAAAAAAAAGTTGAGTCAGAAAAAATGACAGCTATAAGTAGTAACTCTTTACCCAGTAGTGTCTGATTTTCAGCAAGTGGAACATTTTTTATTAGCTTATCAGAGAAAAATGGTTAAGTTTTACAACAAAACTAAGGGAAGAGTAATATCCAGAAACAAAAGTAACAACTTGAAACATTGCTAAGATGATGCAAAGTACACTTGAAACTGGGAACATTGCTACTTCATTACTATATTGGTAATCTTACTTTATCCTCAGCTCCCAGTTTTGGAAATCCTAATACTTTATTGCTTGGGAGACCAGCGCCAATAATACAAATGATAATGTTCTCAAGGGAACACTTCAGTTGTTCAGTTAGAGGAACCAACTCAATTTTTGAGAACCCCCCCATAATATATTTACTATCATGCTTAACATTTGTGATTGGCAAAATAATTCAGAACTTTTAAGCTTCATTGGTTTACACTCCTAATCACTGACCATGAGGATACTGACCAAAATTAAGTAGTTGTACTTGAATACAGATCTTAGTTTGAGTCTTCCATACTCTAATTACTTGACTTAGTGCTTCTGTGAGGGCTTTTTGGCTCTTGAGATTTTATTTAGATTTCTAAGATATTTTAGAATAGAGACTAATTGTAGTATGAATGCTAAATTGAAAAGACTATGCTTAAATGACTAGGCGCCTTTTTGGCAAACTGTTTACAGACCCATTAACTTTGCTCCCATTGAGAAAAGAATCAGTCTTGATTCATCTGGCTTTATACTGGCTGTAAAAGAAATGGAATGATAAAATGTCTTCCAAAAATTTCTTCCAAAATGTCTTCTTTGTTTGACTGGTAATTAAACAGAACTCTTAGGTATTATAGATCACGTCTTTTGGAATGTTTTTGTATTGAAATTCAATAAAACTTTAACATACGAAAAAAAAAAAAGAAAGAAATTTTGTTTTGTTTTGCTTTTCCTGGTACTGGGGAACAAACTCAGGACCTTGCACTTGCAAGGCAGGTTCAGCACCACTGAGCTAAATCCCTGGCCCCAAGAAATTTTAACTGTTTACCTAGGAACCTGTTTACCTAGTACTCCAGGCTACTTAGGAGGCTGAGGCAAAATCACTGGAGTGCAGGTGGGATGCCAGCCTGGGCAACCTAGCAAGACTCCACCTAAAAGAAAAAAAAAAGACATAGTGGCACATGCCTTTAATCCCAGTACTGTGGGAGCCTGAGGCAGAAGGATCACAATATTGAGCCCACTTCAGACAATTTAGCAACTTATTAAGACCCTGTCTCAAATTAAAAAATAAAAAAGGTCTAGGAATATACTTCAGTGCAAAGGCCCTAGATCAAATCCCCAGTACTACAAAAAAAAAAAAAGGTGAATTTTTTCATTTAACATGTTACAAATATATTTTTCCACTCTTTTAATTTTAAATTCATTTTTAATTTACACACATTTTTTTTCTCAGTCACATCTACCAGTCTTTTGTGATTCCTCCCTTGACCTTTATTCTTAGAAAGGCTTTTCTCAAATCTATGATCAAGTATTTTTCTTCTAATTTTATAATGTTCTTCTCTCACTTATAACTCCATCTAAAAATTTTTGGTAAGAAGAAAAGTATAGAACTAGATCTTTCTCTCAAATACCATTTATTGAAAATTGTCTTCTTATAATTTCACATTTTAAGTCAAATTTTCCACAGCTCTTAAAGTAGCAGTCATCAAGAAGCTGATATTTAAATTGTACATACACACTTTCATGTTTTAATTTGTCCTTGTTTACAATCTACTACTAAATTTAAAAGGGTTTTTTCATTTTCAAGGATATAAGAAAAAATACAAAGAATAAAGAATATTTTATACAGCTTTATTGACATATAATTCATATACCATACAGTTCATCCATTTAAAGTGGCACTGGCCTGTAGACCCAGCACATGAGATGCTGATATGGGAGGATCATTTGAGCCTAGGAGTTCAAGACCAGCTTGGGCAACATAGTGAGACTTTATCTGAAAAAGAAGTGTATAGTTTGTAAAATACAACTATCATCTTTATCATGTATTTTGAATATTACTTTAAAATGTTATGTGCAAAATTTAAATTACATATTGTAACAGGAAGTACTGAAAGTGATCCTCTGGAACTCTTTTAAGTGATCATGTAGAAATTGTTACACTTTTACACTTTATATTTTGGTTTGGGGTAAATTTCTCCTATGATTCTATTTTATTTCCCAAATAACTACTGAGTTATCCTCATTGTCTTTTCAACTTCTAACAATGATGTTACAAAACATGGTATAATTCCTTATGAGAATAAATATTCAAGGGCTGGGGTTGTAGTTCACTAGTAAACTAGCCTAGCATTTGCAAGGCCCCATGTTCAATCCCTAGTATAAAGAAAAAAAGAGTAAGTATTCAAGCATATAATCCTTAGAAGAAAAAAATTACTGTAAGCCTAAGATTAAACATTCATGGGCTGGGGATTTAGCTCAGTGGTTCCACCACCTGCCTCGCAAGCACAAAGACCCGAGTTCAATGCCCGGTACCAAAAAAAAAAAAAAATTCATCTGGCATGCTAATAAAGGAGATTTTACTTGGAACTACAGATGCAATAGCCAAAAAAAAAAAAAAAAAGATTAAACATTCATAAGTCAGTGTTTTATACTATTTAATTGAATATACTTATAATAAACCATTATATTAGCATTGGTCATGAAATTGTGTATGAAGCATGGGCACTGTCTCAAGGCTTGAGTAAGATCAAATGTAGGTAAAATTACTTATATTGAGATCTCTCCCATAAGCATCTAGATGTTGAAATTAAATTTAAATAATATTCAATTGGTAAGTGATCCAGATAAATACCATCACGTAGAACTTGGGAGTACTTTTATGTTTTATGAACTTATACATTCTCTTAAATTATATCTGTTACAATAAATATGACTATAAAATAATTATTAAAAGAATGCATTCATAACAAGGATCTTGTTATGAAAGAGACTTGAAAAGTATATCCCTACTGAATTATCTTCAGTGGTAAACTTTGCTGTAATTACATTTGAGTTGATGTATAAAGAAGATTCGTGATGTTTTTGTAATAGTAAAATTTTATAACAAAATTTGCCTTGTATACTTTGTTAGAATTAAAAGTAAATAAGTGCCTATATTGTGGAATAGCTTTAAATATAAGTGAAATAGTTTTTACTTGACCTTTCAAGTCAGTATACTAAAATACCTATCCAGAAATAGTTATTGGCTTATAGCTTAGTGCCTATTGCTTTTTCTAGCTCCATAATTAATTACATTACTCCTCACTCAAGTATCTGTACAAGCCAGTATAATTTTCCAACTGCCCTTCTTTGTCATTACCTAATGAGTTCGCTAAATGTCCCTTACTATTTTCTTTCAATTATTTTCTGACATTATAGATCTAGTTATCATGCTGTGCCTATTTACCTTTTATGATTTCTATTGTCCTTGTGAAGTAGCAAAAAAAAATTTAGAATTTTTTGTAGGTCCTCTGTAGACTGGCCTCATTCATTCACTGGTCTGTGCTTCGCCATTTGCTGGTCTAGAGAAATGAATAAAGTCAAACATCTAGGTCCTCATAATTTCCAAGAAGACCAAAAACACTGGAGAATGTAGACAGTGAAGACAGTAGGTCATTAAAAGCAAGGAGTGTGGGGAAGGTAATATATTGAGAAAAGGATTGTATAGGTTGTGTCTGGGAAAAAAAAGAACCAGAAAAGGATACTTGAGTTTGAGACCTTAAATATGACCAAGACTTACGTTCTTGATTTTGTAGACAGTCTATTATGCAAGTACTGGAAGGTTTAGTCAGTCCACCTCTGCAAAAAAGCATGAGAAAGAGTAGCTTGGAACAATGTAGGGAACAGGGAAAGGGGACGTTACCAGAACCTCTGCAGTAAGTCCTAGTCTGCGAGCCACGGCAGCACAAGGCGAATTACAAGAAAGGTAGAAAAATGAGACTGAGAAGAAGCTGAGCTTTGGGCCTGATCAGTGCTGCTCTGGGCGGCAAAGATGAAAGCCTCCAGCGTACCACACCTTTTATTCAGTACATCGGGAGAAACAAATGTAACAAATAACTTGCAGAGAGTTCAGTACATCCACGTAAACAAGATGGTAACGGTATAAGAACAATGAGGAACTGAGTAGATGTTTGTTCCTCCCAGGATGTTTTCAGCTCCCAGGATGTTTCTTGTCCTGGAGAATCACAGCATCACCGCATCATTGAGGTCTCAGTTGTGACCAGAGGCCAAAATGGAATTATGTCTCAGAATTCCATAGCTGGCCTGTAGGCAAGAGAGCTAGGCTAACCAAATGATTTTTCCCTAAAATTATGTAGCATTGCTCCCGACAGAACAATATAGCTTATTTGATTATTTTCCTAATAGTTTACAAGTCCTTTACCTTTGGCTTCTTATTTGTGGTCTAAAACAATATTTTAGAATAAATGTGTGATCTGATGCTTGAGAAGGCATTTCAGTTTTAGCTTCTATGCCGGGGACTTAGCTCAGTGGTTCCGGCACCTGCCTCGCAAGTGCAAGGTCCCGAGTTCGATCTCTGGTACCAAAAAACAAAAAACAAAACAAAGTGGAGTTTTAGCTTCTATAAATCTTCATTTAGTGGTTTAAAAGATTTTTCTGACTTTGTTTTCTTTTAGCATACTTCTTGATGAAGAAGGGCACATCAAGTTAACAGGTAAAAATCCTAATTTTATTAAAATATTCTCTTCTACTCTGCATAATTTCCTTTAAAGTTGATTATGGTACAAATATTGAATAATGTACTATGTTACAAACTTGGATTATAGTTTTTAATAATTAATGTAAATATTGGAATTCAAAGTTTAAAATTTTTCTGTGCAAATTATTGAGAATATTTATGATTTCAATATTTATTTTGGCAGATTTTGGCCTAAGTAAAGAATCTATTGACCATGAAAAGAAAGCATATTCTTTTTGTGGAACTGTGGAATACATGGCTCCAGAAGTAGTTAATCGTAGAGGTCATACTCAGAGTGCTGACTGGTGGTCTTTTGGTGTGTTAATGGTAAGGTCTGGATTTTTGGTTTTTTAAGGAGTGGGAGGAGTTATTTTATTACATGAAAATCAGCAGAAAATATTATGAGAGAGAAACTGATATTTTTATTTTTTATGTTTTATAGTATAGGTAATAAATAACCAAGAAAAATAATTGGCTGCAGTGTAAGACTGTGGAACCCATTAGCTAATTTCATCTCATCCTAATTTGAAAAAGTAAAAATATATTTCCTTAGATTGTCTGCTAATAGTAACAATCTAAAGTATTAATGGTGCTTACTTTTTGTAAGAACCTGATCTGTTAGAAAGTAATGCTTTAGGGCCGGGGATTTAGCGCAGTGGTTTAGCCACCTGCTATGCAAGCGCAAGGACCTGAGTTTGATCCCCGGTACCAAAAAAAAAAAAAAGAAAGTAATGCTTTAAAAAATGTTCATATGAAATTGGCATATCCTTCAGATTGTTCACATATCTAACACTCTAAAATTGCCATTTAAAGTGTGATTAATTTCTACAAAGGAACTATATAGCTCAGTTATTTCTTAGGAATTATCAAGAAGTTCAATAATGAATATAGTAAAAATATAAATCACTTGTTTTATAGCTGACAGTTTTAGAAGTTTTGGTTGTAATTAAGATGATGCATTTTTTAAGCTCTGGACTTGAGATTTTATACTTATTGACTGATACCTCTGATTATTTTACCTTTGTATAGTTTGAAATGCTCACTGGTACACTACCTTTCCAAGGAAAAGATCGAAAAGAAACCATGACTATGATTCTTAAGTAAGTATTCTGTAATGGCAATGTTAAAGTAGAGGTTTTTAAATAAATACATCAGATTAAGAAATAAGATTTTAAAGTGTCAAATGTATAAAAAATAACTAAAACTTATCAATATTACATGGTTTAAATATGAACAAACTAGGTAGGTTTAGAGTACTCATCATTATGCGAATGGTGAAATATTAAAAGCTTTACCTTTGAGAGTTGGAATATGACAAGTATGCGTATTATTCCACTTTTATCTCCTTTGTCCTCTAGGTCATAGCCAGTGTGGTAAAGCAAGCAAATAAAGTATAGCATAAAGTTTAAAAAGAAGAAATAAATTTGTCATTATTTAGATAACATGTATCCATAGAAAATCTTATCATAATATAAATTTGTAGAATTAATAAGAGTTTAGCAAAGTTGTTGGTTACAGGATCAATCAACAAAAATCTATTCTATGTAAATCTATTTTGTATCTGTATACTAGCAGCAGAAAATGAAATTTTAAAAGTAGATACCATAGCTGGACATGGTAACATACATGGAGGCTGAGGCAAGAGAATGAAAAGCATGACATCAGCCTGGAAAATTTAGAGAGACCCTGCCTCAAAACAAAAAGGACTGGGAATACAGATCAGTGTTAGGGTACTTACCTGGCATGCAGGAGACCCTGGGTTTAATGCTTAGCACCAAAAAGAAAAAAGTAGAGCCAGGAATGGTGATGCACGCCTCTAATCCCAGCACTCGGGAGGGTGAGGCAGGAGGATTGCCATGAGTTTGAGGCCAGCCTGGGCTACATAGTGAGTTCAAGACCAGACTGGACTACACAACAAGACCCTGTCTCAAAAAACTTTTTGGGCCGGGGATTTAGCTCAGTGGTTTCAACGCCTGCTACGCAAGCGCAAGGACCTGAGTTCGATCCCCGGTACCAAAAAAAAAACTTTTTAAAAAAAAGGCAGTAGATACTGTTAACGATAACATTAAAAAATTATCAAGTTTCTGGGGGTAAAGCTAGCAAAAGTTATGCAAGACCACTGTACAGAAAACTAATTTTTTGTGTGGTACTGGGGATTGAACCTAACACTTTCACATTGACCTACATCCCCAGCCCTTACTTATTTTTTATCTAGAAACTTTTATTAAAAGAAAATTTAAAAGACCAGAAAAACTTGGAAAGATAAACCATAGCCACATTATAATAGACCCACTATTGTAAAGATGTAAGTTCTATGGATCAGTGTTATCTAATGAAAATACTACAAAAACCACATACCTAATTTCATATGTTGTAGTACCTACATAAAAGTAGAAAACAATTAAAATTGATTGTAATATATTTCATTTAATTCAATATCCAGCATGTTATCATTTCAACATATGATCAACATTTAAAGATGATTTAGGTATTATAACTTTTTTCATATTTGTTTGAAATTCAGTGTGTATTTTTCATTTACAAGTTGGACTGGTCACATTTCAAATGCTCAGTGGCCACATGTGGCTATTGGCTGCCCTACTGTATGATAAAAATATGGTCTCAATGGAAATCAAATAAAACTTCTAATAAGCTTTTTATGTGAAACTTGATAGACTGATTCTGATATGATAATGTACCAAGAATAGCTAAACCTTCCTTAAAGATGATCAAGATAGACTTGTTTTACTCTAACAAGTAACTTGTTTTTCTCTTGTTTTACTCTCATCAAGTCTTACTCTAACTGTAACTAGGACAATATGACGTTGAAATAAGTATGGAAAGTAGACATGTACAATAGAATAAACAGTCCAGAAACAAATCTACACATATATAAACCCTTAAATTACAACCGGTGGGAGGGCCGGGGATTTAGCTCAGTGGTTCCGCCACCTGTCTTGCAAGTGGAAGGACCTGAGTTCAAACCCCGGTACCAAAAAAATAAATAAATAAATTACAACCAGTGGGAATTGTAGAGCAGTAGGGAAAGAACAGTCTCTTAATGAGTCATACTAGAAAAGATTTCATTAACAGAGAGTAGAAGAAATTTGCCACACTTAGAGCCAACAATGGCTTACTTGTATGCAGAATCTATCAAGAACTCCATTCAAGCAATAAGAAAAAAAAGCGAACAATACAGCATGGGCAGGAAACTTAAGGACCTCGCAAAAGAGAATACTCAATGGCCAATAAACTTATGAAAAGATGCCCAACCTTATTAATCAGAAAACACAAATTACCTGTCAAGGTGATACATTCCCATATTCTCAGTTATTCAGGAGGCTGAAGCAGGAAGATCCCTTGTGCTTAGACATTCGAGGCCAGTCTGGGTCATATAACAAAAAAGAGAATGCATAAGGCATGGTGGCACATGCCTGTAATCCCAGTACTGGAGAAGATGAGGAAGGAGGATTGCCATGAGTTTGAGGCCAGCCTGGCTACATAGTGAGTTTAAGACCAGCCTAAACTACATAATGAGACCTTGCCTCAAAAAACGAAAATGCAAATTAAAATTACAATAAGCTACTGCATACCCACCAGAATAGCTAGAATTATAAAGAAGCTGGCACGCTGGACATTTAGGGAGCACTGCCTCTAAAGAGCATAATCACCAACCTTACAGGGGAGATTTTGCGCTCAGTTGTTTAGAAGCCCTCAGGTAGACTCTGGACTATGGCAGAAAGTGTAGAATTTCTCTTTTTTTCGGTACTGGGGATTGAACTCAGGACCTTGCACTTGAAGGCACAGTGCCTTTCTCATTTTTACAGATTGCATTCATCACAAATTTAACAGATCAAGAATTCCTGGAAAATATTTCCACCTTCACCTGCAAATCACAAAAAATACGGTGGGGATCCATAGCACCCTCAAACTACATATGGTTACCAACATAAAAAATACAAAAAAAAAAAAAACCCACCAGGCAGGCTGACACACACTTATAATCCCAGCTCCTCAGGGACTGAGGCAGGAGGTTCCCAAGTTCTGGCCCAGGCTGGGAAACATGATGAGACCACGTCTCAGAAAGGGCTGGGGAGTGTAGGTTAGTGGTAGAGTACCTCTGGGTTCAGTCTCCAGTACAACTCCCCCCAAAATATAGAAGATGGCCATATTGGGGGAAAGATAGAGCAAAGATACTTCGATTAGGAAAAATACATACCCCTCATATTCATGAGAATGCATAACTGAAAGTAATTAAATACTTGATAACAAGCCCTTTAAATTGCCACAAGGACTTCCAGTAGAGGAGAACATGTCTAACACTTACCTCAAAACCACTGGAGACCGCCAGACTTACATGCCTGTAATCCCAGCAATGGGGAGGCTGGGGTAGGAAGATTGCTGGAATTTCAGGCCAGCCTGAACTACACAGCAAGAAAAGCAAAAAAAAAAACAAAACCAAAAGAGAGCACTAGAGAAAGCCAGGTGTAGTGGTGCATGCCTGTAATCCCAGCACTCTGGGAAGCTAAGAGAGGAGGATCGCAAACTCGAGACCAACCAGGGCAATTTAGCAAGATAGCAGTTAAGTCCTGATGCTATAGCAGCTTCAAATTTTAAAATATAGATCATCATTATTTCAAGATGGTGAGAAAATGTTTTCATTAAAATATATTTTAAATCTCAGTCCAAAAGAAAAAAGACTGACAATACAAAGTGTTGGTGAGATATAGAACAGTGGCAACTTTCACACATAGCAAATCAGGACTATAAATAATCACATAGCAACTTTGGAAAGCAGTTTTTGTCATTATCTTATAAAGATAAATCCATTTATCCCACTCCTGGGCATGTATTCAATTTATATGCATCAAGGTACACCACATCAAGGCACAAGTACAAAGCGGTTCATAGCAGCATTATTTGTAATAGTAGAAACTGGATCATTTCCAGTAAAAACGATTAATAAATTATGGTATAGTCATACAGTTGGATACAGTAAGAATTGTGTTTATTGCTATCTGTAAATATTTTAGGTTTTGCAGGCCACACACAATCTGTCACATATTCTTCTTTATTTGTATTTTTTAACCTAACCCTGTTTAAACATAAAACAATTCTTCAGAGCCATACAAAAACAGGTCTAGGCTTTTGGTTCATGGGCATACATACTATGCCTTACAGCAGAGAGAATGAACAAACCACAGTTATGTCTGACAACTTGAGTAAATCACATAAGAACATTGAGCAAAATAAGTTCATACACAAAAGAATAAATACTGTGATTCTATTTATAAAGTTTACAAAACAAGCAAAACTAACACATATTTTAAGGTCCATATTTAGATGATAAAAGCTGGAGGCAAAATAAGGAAAGTGGTTACAGTGGATGAAGGGTTCTGGCAATGTTTTATTTCTTGGCCAGATGACTATTCACTTTATGGTGAATCATTGAGCCATGTACTTTGGGTGGTTTTTTGTTTGCCTGGTGAGGTTTTTTTTCTTTTCCCCTGACTTTTCTTATGTTATTCACAATAAAAGTTTAAAAATAATACTACGTAAATGAGTAAATGTTCACTGAACTTTCATGACTGAACCTTCATCATTCCATCTGCTCTGGTCCTCTCCTTTCAGCTAACAAATACTCTAGTATTCAAAAACCAAACCCTCTCATTGGCCTTCCTTTCAAGTTACTGTACCACCTTCTTACACCCTTTGAATACAAGGTCTCTTCAAAGAGTAGTCTATGCTTTCTGTTACTATTTTGGGGACTTATTTTAGTCATTCATCCCCCATCACTCTCCTGAAACTGCTGTCACTATGGTTGTCAGTGGTCTTCTGGTTGCTAAAACCTGTTGCAGATTGTCAGAGTTGACTCTGCCATTCATTCACACAATTCATTCAACAGGTAATTGAGTTCTTGGTATATGTACTGGGGATGCAGTATGAACAAGACTGAGATGTTTAGTTGTCTTACAGAGCTTACATTTTAGTGGAGGAGGTGAGGAATTAATATTTAAGCAAATAAGTATAATTTCAGACTATAATGGGAACTATAGAGATAAGCTGAAGTACTTTATTCAGATGGGGAACCCCATAATAAGGGAGGGAAGGGGCTTAGGAGCAGGAGGCAGTTTTAGATGAACCAGTAAGGAAAGTCTCTCTGCAGAGGACTTGACACTGTTGACTACTCCCTACCCGCTTTGCTTTTCCTACGCTCATCTGCCTCTCTAACCATTCCTCTTTTGGTCTCTTTTGCTTAACCATTCCTCCTCTGCCTGTTTTTCTTTCTTTAGTTACAGAATTTTTCAAATGTAAATTCTGAAAATAGAATAATAAAATGAACATAAATAGGTACTCATCACCCAAATTCAACAATGTCAGGATTTTGCCATATTTGCTTCATCTATTCCTTTTTTCTTTTTAACTCAAATATTTTAAGCATTCCAGACATGTCATTTCTTATCTACTTTATTCAGTTTGCCTTACTAAAAATATGGGTATTTTCTTATATAACCACATATAACAATATGAGTAATATGCTTAGGTATTACCTAACACTAATCCCTAACCCAATTTTTCAGATTTTCTTTGTCTTACAGTTGGATCCAAATCAAGTCTACACATTCCATTTGGTTATATTTCTTAAATTTCTGTTAATCTAGAATACCCTACCCCCTGTTGTCTTTCTGTTTTTACATGTCAAAACCAAGTCAGTTGTGGGCTGGGGATTTAGCTCAGTGGTGCTGCCACCTGCCTTGGAAGCGCTAGGTCCTGAGTTCGATCCCTGGTACAAAAAAAAAAAACAAGTCAGTTGTTTTGCTTTCTGAATTTATCTTGTCAGGGGAAGAGACCATCTCTCGATATCTGGAACAAAGAGCATTAAGTTAATTTTATTGTTTTCTTATAATAAGAGAATCAATGTTGGTCTAATAGAGTCTCTCCAGGCAGAGTAGACCACTGATCTTATATAGGATTTGGCAGAAGGGTGGAGTTCAAGAACTGGCAGATTTTCAGGTCCATACATAGATTGACATCATCTATAAGAGCATTATTACTTGAGTGGGAGTGTTGTTGATTAGTTGGTACTCAAGTATGGTTATGCTGAGCCTGTGTGGCTTACTTTCAGAAATGACACTTGGCTGGGAAGCGTTCACCTGAGACGTGTCATTGATAATTGAATGGATTTAAAACAAGCAAAGGATTTAAACCAGTTCTGAGCTGGATGTGATGGCACACACCTATAATCCCAACATTCTAGGAGGCAGGAGTATGGCAAGTTCAAGCCCAGCCTGGGCAACGTAGTGAGTTGGTGAGACTTTATCTCTAAATTTAAAAATTAATAAAAGGGCTGGGGATATAACTCAGTGAAGGCCAGTCTTCTAAGACTGCAGAATTTTTTCTTTATTCTCTTTGTGCTTATTTCTCCAGCCTGTTTTTCATTTAACTGTTGCCTGGGGGTGGGTGAGACAGTCTTGCTATATACTGCAGGCTAGTCTTGAACTCACTTGGTATCAGAGAATGGCCTGGAACTCATGACAGTCCTATCTCAGCTTCTCAAGTGCTGGGATTACAGACATGCACAACCACACCTGGCATTCTTTTTTTTTATTTTTTATGCTGAGGACCTTGTGCATGCTGAACACATACTGTACCATTGAACTACACCTTCAGTTCTATATTAATTATTTTTAATGCCCAGATTGTTCTTTTTTCAAACCACCTTTTAAATGCCCTTCTCCCTCAGGGTTCAGTCTCTTATGTGCTTTTCTTTCCCTCTATACTCACTTCCTCAGTTGACCTTAGTCTTTCCTATATCTACTCTCAACATTTTAATTATTCCCAAATCATTTTTTATATCAATTAATCAAGCACCAGAACTGAATTTCCATTTACTCACCTGAATGGCTTTTCCAAAAACATATAGCATGCATGACTTCACATCTTTAAATAAATTTATCTCTACTTTCTGGGTATTTTTTTCCTCTTCTTGTACTCCCAATTAGCATTTCCATGCACCGTCTTTCCCAAGCCAGTAACCTGGGAATCATTCTTGATGTCTTCCTCCCTCTTATATATTTATGCATTGTCTCAGTTTTATCTCTGAACTCTTTCTCTGTTCCAGCCCTTCCTCTGCATTGCATTCCTCACAGTGGTCAGGCCATGGGGACCTCTTACCCACACTACTAATCCATGCTCCAAAGTAGAGTACCTACTACCTTTTCCCATTCTAAATCATTCCCTGCTACCCTTGATCTTAACAGGTATTCTCTGGGGGGGAAAAAAAAGAGGTACTAGAGACAAATGTCTAGAAAATCATGATTTCTTTAGATTTCTCAGCCTTTTTTATGAAGTGTATTTTATTCAGTGTCTCCAACAAGGGGGTATAATAGATAGCATTCCATAAACTGGCTGGATTATTAAATAGTTTTATTGTTGGGCCGGGGATTTAGTTCAGTGGTTCCGCTGCCTGCCTAACAAGCGCAAGGTCCCAAGTTCGATCCCCAGTACAAGAAAAAAAAATAGTTTTATTGTTGTTGCTATGTATCTAGAGATTAATATTGTCCAGTAAAATTTTGGGGAACCCTGGCCAAATGAGTAAATTTCCAACCTTTAGATTCCATTGGAGACCTTTCACATTGTTCTGTATTAAATTAGGTATCCACTGCTGTTCTCTTAGCATTCTTTATATATATCCTTCTGGATTTGTCTCTTAGTGTACTAGGGTTATCTATATTCATCTTCCCTGCTGACCATGAGGGCCTATCTTTAGCTTTATATCCACAGTACTAAGTAATGTCTGGCACATAATAATTCAGAAACAATTCACAGAATAATAAGTGGATCTGTTTCTGAAAAGGGAGTTTCTCTGCTAGCCATTTTCTCAAGCTCTGTTATTATTGTGATAGTTACAGGATCATTGGTTTCTTTAATTTGTAGGTTTGGAGAAAGAATACAATTAAATACTATAGCTAAAAGCTATATCCAGGCCAGTGGTTTTCAGACTGTACTACAAAGTCATCAATGTTCCACAAACCCCTTTCCCGTCAATTCTGCCTCCCTGCAGCGGCCGTTAAAAGGATTGAAAGGGGGAAGTGGTGTATGAAGCACATGTTCTCTTCACAGTTGCTAATATTGGGTTTCTTAAATTACCTTTGAAAAAAGGTACAAAGGCTACAGTTTCTGAACCATTGGTATAGATTTCAGTCCCACTGCTTGTGAAAAAGTGTTAACAGGCAGAAAGATGACTTTACTCTCACAATAGTGAGAGTAGTAAGAGTAGTGAGTAGCTCTTTGTAAAATTCTGAAAAGAAAGTCCACCAAAAGATTATGACTAAAATTCCATTGATGTGGTCACACGATCTGTATATGAATGTTATAGCAACTTTGTTCATAATAGCTCCAAAGTGGACACAATTCAGATGTCCTTCAATAGGTGAATTGATAAATGAACCATAACACATTCATAGAGGAGCCTAGGCACATAATAAAATGACAGAACTAGCGCTGGGGATGTAGCTCAGTGGTTCTGGCATCTGCCTTGCAAGTGCAAGGTCCCGAGTTCAATCCCCGGTACCAAAACAAAAATTGACAGAACTAAAAACATACGGACACATAAGCACAAGTAAAACTGGGGCCATGTGAATGAGAATGGTGTCAAAGTCAACACCTTGGTTGTGATTTGCAGTACTGGGGATTGAACCCAGCATTTTTGCACTGAGCTATATCCCCACCCCTTTGTAATTTTTATTTGAAGAGAGGGTCTTGCTAATTTGCCCAAGCTGGGATTGAACTTGGAATCCTCCTCCATCAGCCTCAGAGTGCTAAGATTACAGGTGTGTGCCATTAGCTCGCACTATAGTTCTGTAAGATGTTACCATTAGGGGAACTGGGTCCAGATCATTTCTCTGTGATTTCTCCGATGATTTCTCATGATTTGAGTGTGAATCTACAAGTATTTCAAAAATAAAAAGTTTAACTTTAAAATTTTTTAAATAAAAATAGATACCTCAAAAAATAAAATGTTAATGTGTGGATTTATTATTTAGAGCCAAACTTGGGATGCCACAGTTTTTGAGTCCTGAAGCCCAGAGTCTTTTACGTATGCTTTTCAAACGAAATCCTGCAAACAGATTAGGTAAAATTTTTAATTAGCTTCTTTTGTGTGTTTGTTGATGTTTGACTTTATTTTTTGGAGAGGTGGATATTTGTTTTTATAGTGAGATTATTAAATATTCAGACAAAGATTAAAAGCAAAGACTGAACTATATATATATATAGTTATATATATTTAAATAAGATATATAAGTTATACATATATAAATAAGTTATATATATAAATAAAACTATCAATCAACTTTTGATAGGTGCAGGACCAGATGGAGTTGAAGAAATTAAAAGACATTCATTTTTCTCAACAATAGACTGGAACGTAAGTATAGAATGAAAACTTGCTTGAAATTTTTTTATAATTAATACGTTACCTAAGTTTCTCTTTTTTTTCCTCCAGAAACTATATAGAAGAGAAATCCATCCACCATTTAAACCTGCAACTGGCAGGCCTGAAGATACATTTTATTTTGATCCTGAGTTTACTGCAAAAACTCCCAAAGGTAAAGAGAAAAAAAACATGAAAACTCAAATACAAGGCATTAAACTGTTTTTTTCTTGTTCAGTGAGAACTTTTTCCAGGGTAATTCTTTGTGCTATCCTAAAATTTCCTAAATTTGCTGCTTATCAGCCTTGTATTTCACCCCTAACTAGGAGTATAATATTCATAGGATTTCATGTAGGCTGCCCTGCCACATATATCTAATTAAATTAATTAAACATTTAGTTTCTCATTCGCACTAGGCACAGTTCAAATGCTTAGTGGCCATATGTGGCTACTGACTACCACGTTGGATAGCACAGATAAAATGCCCGCCATTAATTTAAAGAAGCTCAGTGGTTCAGTGCTAATTTTGAATGCCATTAGCCCAGTAATTCTTAGATTTATTATACTCTTCAAATAAGCTGGCTATATTCTAGGCTCTGGGAAAGTAGGGTGTTAGAATAGTAGTGGCAGTAAGTGATCAGGACAGATGTGATGCCAGGCCTCACTGAGGTAACCTGGACATCAAAGTGTATGTAATGGGTGCCTGAGAACTCCTCTAGATTAAGTAAGAGAAATCGTAATTTCACTCATTCTTCCTTTTATCAACCTTCAAAGGAATCTTCCTAGTGATTTCTTATTCATTTCAGATTCCCCTGGGATTCCACCTAGTGCTAATGCACATCAGCTTTTTCGGGGGTTTAGTTTTGTTGCTATTACCTCAGATGATGAAAGCCAAGCTATGCAGACAGTTGGTGTGCATTCAATTGTTCAGGTGAGTGGATTCCTTGATCATTTTAGATTTCAAATGCTTTAAGCTATATTTCATTATATGAGTAATAAGATACAGATTATCGCTAACTTTTAAGTGAACAACTTAAAATACATTTTATATCATTAACAGTACTCTTAGAAATTCCTTTCATATGTCATTGAAAAGGTTGCATGAACCAAAATCCTAGATACCTATGTGACATGAAAGTGAAATTCTAAGAAAATTGAGGTGATAGGCCAGGGATTTAGCTCAATGGCACTGTGCCTGCCTTGTAAGTGCAAGGTCCTGAGTTTGATCCCCGGTACCAAAAAAAAAGAAAATTGACGTGAACATCATCATCTTGTCTGTCCCCTGTCCTGTACCTCAAAATGTTTGTCAGGCCTAGTGTGCATCATCCCCAGCCTACTTCAGGTCTGCTACGATGGACTGAGGTCTCCTGGTTCCTTGATGCCTTAGCCATCAGCAGACTTTCTTTGTAAAAGGTCAGAAAATACATATTTGCAGCTATATCTCTTCTCAGATGGCTATTAAGCTCTGCTCTTGTAGCATAGCAGCCACAGCCAGTATATAAAGTACATAAACAGACATGACTGTGCCAATAAAACTTTATTTACAAGCTGGTCCTGGTGACACGTGCCTCTAGTCGCAATCATTTGGGAGGCTAAGGCAGGAAGTTCAAGAGTTTCAAGCCAGCCTGGGCAACAAAGCAAGAACCCATTCTCCAAAATTACATACTTACATACATACTTTATTTACAAAAACAGGCAATGAACCAGATTTGTCATAGGCCATAGTTTACCAGTCTTTGTCTTAGAAAGATGTAAGAACTAAAAATGAACCCAAATCCTAAGTTTTCCAAGTTTTGTGTCCTTGTTTTTCTGTCCTTGTTTTTTAAACCTGCAACTGGCAGGCCTGAAGATACATTTTATTTTGATCCTGAGTTTACTGCAAAAATTCCCAAAAGTAAAGAGGAAAAAAAACATGAAAATTCAAATACAAGGCATTTGACTTTTTTTTCTTGTTCAATCAGAACTTTTTCCAGGGTAAATCTTTGTGCTATCCTAAAATCTCCTAAATTTGCTGCTTATCAGCCTTGTGTTTCCCCCGTAACTAGGAGCATAACATTCATAGGATATCATGTAGGCTGCACTGTCTAATTATGGTACCCAGTCATTAAGAAGAAAAGGCTGTGAGTACTGCCTTCAAGTCCCTCTACCTCTTTATCTTGCTTATCAGAGTTGCAGAAAAAATAAGTAAAGATCACAAGAGCAAGTTAGTAGGGAAAGGGAATATTCAGGAAACTGGACTACTAAATTAAATATTTAAGGAACACAAGTAGTATAAACATTAGATTTCTTCCCCTGCTAGTATTATGGAAAAGTAAATTTAATTTGTCCTGATCTGATCATTACATATTGTATACATGTATTAAAATGTTACACTGAATGCCATAAATATGTACAATTACTTAATGTCAACTAAAATACATTTTTTAAAATTTAATTCATCTTTTTAATCATAGAAGAAGCTAGATACTGTATACCTTTTGAAACCATTATTTTTAGGGTATTACTAGTATTTGGATTTACTTGATCATTAAGTGCTTTTGCTCTAAAATTTTTTTCATGAGTAAGTCATCTTTCTGCTTTCCAGAAAACCAGTTTAAAACTGTTTTTAAAGTGCAAGGACCCGAGTTTGGTCTCCAGTACCAGAAAAAAAAAAAAACTTTTTAAACAAAGCTTAGGTTGCTGTAGTCTGTCACTTTTACTATGCAAGCACATGAATGCATGGCAAGTAAACTCTACCTTATACAAAACTTGTAGACATGGAAGGTCTCATATCAGTATAGTGAAAACTTCCATCAGCCTGTTTATAGAAACAGTAATTTGCTACTCATCATGCAGCATATATTAGAAGTTGTATAAAGCTATAAGTTGAAGATGAAGAAGGACATAACTGCTGAAAGTACAAAATGACAACTTTTTTATTATTATTTTATTGTTACATTTTAGGTATACAATATAATGACATTCTTCAATGGAAATTTGCACCTTTACATAATCTCTCTTGGTTCTTATTTTTCCCCCTTCCCCTGCCCTCCCTTCAACCCCTCCATCCCTCCTTATTTATAAAGACTTTGTTTCCATTTTCTCATATTAATTCCATTCCCTTCTTTCCTTTCCCCCACCCCTCCCACTTCCCCTTCGCCCCTTTTCTTCCTGTTTCACATTATCTATTATACCTTTTAGTCCTTATTTACACTTTCAGTTTTTCACACTAGAGAAACTATTTGGTATTTACACATGTGTGTCCTATTTATTTCACTTAAGAGTATCGCCTCAGTGTGCCTCCATTTAGCTATAAATGTCTCTAATTTCTCATTTTTTATGGCTGAGTAGTACTCCATTTTATTTTTTAAAAACACATTTTCCTTATCCAGTCTCCAGTTGATGGGTAATTGGGCTGCTTATAAGTTTTAGCTATTACAAATTGTGTTGCTATGAACATGGGTGCACATAATATCACTGTGGTATGATTCTTTTAATTGTTTGGGGAAGATACCCAGCAGGGGAATAGCTGGGTCAAATGAGACTTCCAGTCCTAGTTCTTTGAGGTATCTCCGTACTGATTTCCACAGTGGTTGCACTAGTCTACACTCCCACCAGCAGTGGAACAGGGTTCCTCTTTCCCCGCAGCCCCACCACCAGACAAAATGACAACTCTTTACACTTTCAAATGCTTTGTTTTTATTTAATCTTCACCATTACCCTTTGAGAATACACAGGCGCAAGTTTACATGGCTTATAGGTGGTACATCTGAAACAATCCAGATGTTCTAATTCTGAGTCCTCCTAAGTCTTTTCATCTATACTAGAGTTTCAAACTTCTCCTTATGTCTACAGGTGCTTCAAAAAAACTGATAGTTGGCTGGGGAGTGGAATATTGCTATATCACAGACAAGGCTATAGGCCCCTTATCAAGTATTTCTGCTTTTTCTTTTGTACATATTTATTTTTTTTCTTTTTAACATAAACTTTTTAAAAGGTGTATTTATTACTTTAAATATATACTTGTAGAAGAATAGGTGCTATAAAGAATCATTTTTTATTTTTACTGATATTCATTTATAATTAACATGAAAAATGCATACTGAGTAACATACAACCCAATTATGAAATGCACTGAAGACATTGTAGAACTCATTATCAGTTTATAATTTTATTTGTAGCAATTGCATAGGAACAGTATTCAGTTTACTGATGGATATGAAGTAAAAGAAGATATTGGAGTTGGCTCGTACTCCGTTTGCAAGAGATGTATACATAAAGCCACAAACATGGAGTTCGCAGTGAAGGTAAATTTTCTTAGATTTAAAATGCAAGGCTAAAATTTCTTATTCATGCTTATTGCCACCAGTTAAAAATTACACTCTTGGGGCTGGGGATTTAGCTCAGTGGTTCTGCCGCCTGCCTTGAAAGCACAGGGTCCCAAGTTCGATCCCTGGTACCAAAAACAAAACAAAGCAACAAAAATTACACTCTTTCCTTTGGTAAAAGTGCCTTTTATGTCAAAATGTATTATTCTCATATATGAAAATACTACAATTGAAATGCAGTATTTCATAAAATTAACAGATGTTAATAAAAAACATAAGCTAGGGAGCCAGGGATTTAGCTCAGTGGTGCTGACACCTGCCTCACAAGCACAAGGCCCTGAGTTCAATCCCCGGAACCACCACCCCCCCTCCCCGCAAAAAAACAAAACAAAACAAAACATAAGCTGGGTGTGATGGCACACACTGTAATTCCAGCATGCTGGGAGGCTGAGGCAGAATGATCACAAGTTCAAGCCTAGCTTGGGCAACTTAGTAAGACCCTGTCTCAAAATTTTTAAAAATTGTAAAACACCAGGAATGTAGCTCAGTAGGCTCAGGTTCAATTCCCACAACTGAAAAAAATACATATATATATATAGGTGTGTGTGTATATATGCATATATATACATGTATACATATATATTTTAAGTGCCTTTTGTTATAAAAAGTTAAGGTAAATTTAAATATCTGGGCTAGTGATTGTCAAAGATCTGTATGTGGAGCCATGAATTCCCATGGAAGCTTAAGGTAGGATAGTCATACATCTAATTAGCCCAGGGTAGTACCAGTTTATACCACACATAATTTTTTTTTTTGGTACCAGGGATTGAACTCAGGATCTTGTGCTTGCAAGGCAGGCGGTGGCACCACTGAGCTAAATCCCTGACCCTACCACATATAATTTTAATAGTGCTCCTTTTACTCTCAGAAGTCCCCATTGTATGGTCAGGGTATGAGAAAATTCCTCAAAATTGTGTGCCAAATCTTGTATGTTTACATTTTTCTGGCAAAAATCTTCATATATTTCTTCACATCCATCTATAAAGATCTGTGAAGCAATAAAAGAATAAGAACTACTGACATAAAACTTATTATCATTGCCACCTTTAATTTCCTCAGGTGTCCTAAAACAGAATTTTCTAAGCTAAAAACTAAGGCTTTGTGGTAAAGTTTGTATTTCAAACCTTTAACTGTGAATAAACAAATACTATATTCCAAGTCTGCCTTTTCTTTATTTGCAATAGGAATCTGCTCTCTTACCTCAACTAATTCATGTAATGTTTAAAGCTTCCAACTTATTTGAACCTTTTGTATTAGTTTATAAGTATAGGTAGCTTATATTGACTTAGAGAGTAACATTAGTTGTTATTACTATTCTAAACTTAGATATAATTGATTTAAAGAGTCATCATTGTCTGTACGGCTTCCTCCTGGATGTAGGGATAAACCACAGAAATAAATTTAACTTTCTATTCTACTCATTACTCTTACTGAAATCTGGAATCCATAGAAATTTTCAAATTGCTTATATGAAAGAAGGAAAAGAAATGCTATGCTTGATGGGTAGTTTAAGGATGTATCTTTACTCCATAAAAACATCAGAAGAAACAGAAATGTCCTAAAGCCCACACTTTGAATTACAGAAACCAGGGGCAGTATGTCCAAAGCCTTGAGAATTTCTCCAACTATTTATGGATTCCTGTGACTTAAATTAGATTCATAAACCCAATCCTAACAAGACTGTATTCTACTGAAATTACTTCACATTTGAAATCCACAAACACAAGTGTACTTTGATACAGTGTACTTTGTGCTCAGATTAGCATATTAGAGAATGTTGCTAAAACAACAGCTCCCGCTATGTTCTGGTTTTGAAGAAACTAGTCCCTGGTCACCTCTTTTGATTTAGCATCCCTATTCTATATACCTCTCTTCTTAACCATCCATTTGATTAATTCCACACTAATCATTTGCAGATGACTACAGTGGGTACCTATATATTTGTCTTCCCTGATCTCAAAATATGGAACTGTTTTACAATGACATCCATTTCAAAAGATTAAACTCATACTGAGAGTTAAGCTCTATCCTAAGTTGCAGGAGTAGTTGGGTATTTATTGAATACATTAATTACTAAGCTGTTTTTAAATTGAATATACAAGGAATAGAAGGTAAAGCACTTCCTAGCATGTGTGAGGCCTTGTGTTTGATCTCCAGAACCTCATAAAAATGAATGTACAAAGGCCACAAAATTTGTTTCAAACTACCCTTTGAGGAAATTGAAAGCCAAACTCGCCTTTCTAAAATATAGTGTTATTTTAATAGCCAGAAGAGGTGGCACACGCCTGTAATTCCAGTGCTCAGGAGGCTGAGGTAGGAGGATCACTGCAAGTTTAAGGCCAAGCTGGGCTACATAGTGAGTTCAAGACCAGTCTGAATATAGCAAGACCCTGTCTCAAAAAAAATGTATATATACATATATTATATATATTATTACATTAACAGATTAAAACATTAGAAATACTTTTAAGAAGCAGGTACATAAAAGGGTTGGAAAGATGTGTATTTTAAAGGGATTTATTATAATAATTAAACTGAATTCTAGTCAAGTAAAATTCTAGATATGGGGACCGGGGATTTAGCTCAGTGGTGCCACCACCTGTCTCGCAAGCGCAAGGTCCCAAGTTCAATCCCCAATACAAAAAAAATTCTAGATGTGGTTTTCTATATACCTTTCTGCTTAGCTTCAAAAATGAGCTTATTCTACTTAATTGTTAATTTTTATAAGTAGCTTACAACTAATGAGATATTTTGTTAAAATACTTTATTAAAAGAAGTAAAATTAATTCAATAAACAGATGTTTACCATTGGTGATGTCATTGTTAATCTAGCTCTCAATTGTCTGTATTAATAGAGAGTTAGAAGTTGACTGTATTCCCAGATGTTTAAAGCATTCACACATGGAAGAAAAGATGTGTTATGTTGGAGAGACCTGGTGGGAATGTGACTCACGGGTTAGAATTTACAGCCTCACCATCAATAACAAATCTACCTTTCTAATTAAATAGTCTGGCCAGGTAGTTGAATAAGTCTGATTGATAAATGGCTTGTATATACATTATTTACATACGATGATAACTAATGTATGTGACTATAACCATTTAAGGTTTCTGTTCATGAAATTTTATGATAAATATTTGCCTTTTAGATTATTGATAAAAGCAAGAGAGACCCAACGGAAGAAATTGAAATTCTTCTTCGTTACGGACAGCATCCAAACATTATTACTCTAAAGGATGTAAGTATATTCTTTAATGAGGATCATGTGAATCAGTTGTTTTAACTCACATTTGGGATGTTTTCAAATGTGGTAGACAAAAATCTTGTTATAGTAAGTTTAAAGCGTAAGTTTGAGGACTGGGAAAATGGCTCAGTTAGTGCTTGCCTAGCATGTGTGAAGCCCTTCCCCAGCACCACACACACACAAAAAAGTAGATTAGAGAACATGTATATGACATCATTCAATTTATAAGGAAAAATACATTTATATAACTAATTTTCTACTTTTTCTTTAAGAAAAGTATTTTAATATTTGCATTTACTTGAATATATACACATATGTCCAATAGTAATACACCACATTACTGCCAGAGAATGCTAATGCTCATATCTACCTGTGTTACTTCCCTGCCTACAGTTCATACTCCCTGGCCCCTCAAGGCCCTGCCTTCCTCTATTTTTACACTTCCTCACATACCCTGTCCTCCGGCCATGCTATAGTATGTACTCTTGGTTTTTTGTCTTTTTTTTTTAGCATGCCCCATTTTCTCATGCTGCTTAACTTTGAATTTATGGCTCCCCTAGTTGGGAACATCATTTCCCATCTTTTTACCTGGCTAATTACCACACATTTCAAGCTATGCTAGGGAACTCCTTCCTCTAGGAAGCCTGCCCTGTCCATTACCATCCCCTAGGTATCCTTTGCCTGGGCTGTCACAGTACCCTGCTACCTATGTCTCCTATAGCTTTTATTATAACAGAGTATTGGCAGAGGACATGTATTCTCCAGGTAGCATTCTCAGTACTGGCACTCACATAGCCTCAAAGATAATATCTGGGTGTTTTCAAAACTCCACTTTCCTCAGATTAATTTATCTTTGTGCATTGTGAGAAGGTGATTAACTTAGTTGAATTAAAATATGAAGCTGTTCAGTCTGACTCTTTAATTAACATTGTCTCCAAAAATTCAACCAAGAAATTTAGAAAGAAAGTTTAAAAAATACTTTCTCTCAACCCAGCCTTGGAAACTCCCTAAACTGTCCATTTCATTCATTTCAAATTCCAAAGTCTTTAAAATTTTCCTCAGACTTTTATTACAGCATCTCTAATGCTTTTTTCCTCTTGTTTATATGCCTTTCTTCATTCTAGAGTAAAAATTTTGAGTGTAGTTACTTCATTTTCTCCATATTTGATACCCTAGAACCTGTACAGTATCTAGTATCTCTTATGAAGCTAAGAAAAGGTTTCCAGTAAGTCTGTAGTGAGAGGGGAATAACAAGAACTTGAAATTTAATTAAGAGATTGTTTCAGTTATGTAGTTCTCTGGTATTTTTCTTTGTGGTTAGATGGAATTTCTCTTTACTAGTTAATCTTTCTGCTTAATTTCTGGCTAAATTTGTCTTGCAGTTTAATCAAAACTAGGTAGCCAAAAAAAAACAAAAACAACTAGGTAGCTAATAATTCATTCATTTTTGTGCATATCAATACAGAAGCTCTACTCTTGCAGACATTGCAGGAAAATCACAGGAGTGCGTCCTTATACCTGCCCCCACTCTCATCAGTAGGTAGAAAGAGATCAAGAAAAAAAAACAAACCCCAAGAACATATATTCAGAACCCCTTTGTTTACAATGCCCATAGTTCCTTTGATTTCTGTGAATTAAGTTTCACAGAAGGAAATCTTTTAATCTTTGAGACACACATAAAGCTTCAAATAATATTTTATGTTTTGATGTTGAATTTCATAGGTATATGATGATGGGAAGTATGTGTATGTAGTAACAGAACTTATGAAAGGAGGTGAATTGCTGGATAAAATTCTTAGACAGAAATTTTTCTCTGAACGAGAGGCCAGTGCTGTCCTGTTTACTATAACCAAAACTGTTGAGTATCTTCATGCACAAGGGGTAAGTTTTTTAACATTACTTATATACACATATATTCATTTCTTTTTTTTAGTACTTGAGCTAAAATTACAAATATGGAAGTTTCTACATGCAGTAGAAAATATGTTAGCTGCATTATTTCTATTGGTCTCCCTCTGCATAACTTTTCCCATTGAGCTTGAAATGCTACTTTAAAATTCTAGCTTGTTTATATTAAATTCTTATGCTTTCCAAGAAAAAGATGAGATCTTCTGACCTTGCAAACAGTACCATTTCTGCTAGGCCACCTTAAAAATGAGGGTTACTTCAAGTTAGAAACAGGACCAGGAAATCCTGGTTTATTTTCACAGATGAAAGGAAAGCATTGAGGCTAGGGGTGTAGCTCAGTGGTAGAGTGCTTGCCTAGTTTGAGTGGAGCCCTGGGTTCACTATCAGAGACATCAACAACAACAACAAAAGAAGGAAATCCTTACAGTGGATAAGGCCGGGTAGTCACCTGGCTCAAGGCTGGTGGATGCTCTCATTTCTTCTGGCATATAGATTCTTGTAACTGGCCAGAAAATCCTACTTTTAAAAGAAATGAATTCTGAGAGGGCAAAAGTTTAATAAGTGCCCCCCAAAAATCATGTTTTTAAAGGAAAGGAGTCTGCGAAGGAAAGGGGGAGAGGAAGAGGAAAGGAAAAAACAGAGTAGAGAAGAGAGGTAAAAAGCAAGGGGGAACGATTGCTTTTATTTTTCTTACATTTTTGATTGACAAATTAAAAATGGTATATTATTTGTAGTGTACCACAAATGTAGATACATGTATATAAAAGATTACTTTTTAAGGAGTTTTTCAGTTCGGTCTTCTCATTTTGTTTCTCTTTGACTTTAAAAGCCAACAGTGGAATGTGTTGGCTGTCTGCTAACTGAAATTAAAATTTAATCTTCTGAATTAGTAAAATTCAATCTTCAATTAAGAATGTTTGGGGGGGGGATTTAGCTCAGTGGTTTCGCCGCCTGCTGCGCAAGCACAAGGACCTGAGTTCGATCCCAGGTACCAAAAAAAAAAAAAAAAGAATGTATGGGGGCCTGGGATTTAGCTCAGTGGTGCCACCTGCCTCAAAAGCGCAAGGTCCTGAGTTCAGTCCCTGGTACCAAAAAAAAAAGAAAAAGAATGTATGACTTTTCAGTCATCTAAGTCTTTCATGTTCCTTTCCCAATGCCTTATCAGTAATTAGTAAAATATTAAGGAGAATTAATATTTTGAATGTTAGTATCTAAAGCCAAAATGATTGATTACAATCTAGACTCAGATTATGATGATGGAAGAAACTCAAGTCTAAAAAGGAGTGTCAGAGAAGCTTATTTTAAAGAAGTATTCAAGTAGTTCATTAAAAGAGGAAAATAAGCTGGGCATGGTGGCGCGTGTCTGTAATCCCAGGCATGCACTCTGGGAGGCTGAGGTAGGAGAATCACAAGTTTGAGGACAGCCTGGGTAACTTAGCAAATTAGCGAGACCCTGTCTTAAAATAAAAAGGGGCTAGGTATGTAGCTTAATCCCAAGGCTCTGGATTCAATCCCCATTACCAGACAAAAAAGGAAAATAATACAAAACTCTAACCACAAGTTACCTTTCTGCATATATGACATCTTCATTTGCTTATAAAATAAGTAATACTTAAAGCCCAGGTTTGGATTTTAGGCGTTTTTTCCCTTTTACTCCTAAATACCATGTCTGTTCAATTTAATCTGCCAATACATACTTGTTGTATACCTACCTTGTACACACTGTTCCCTCTACTTAGAATGATCTTTCCCACTTTTTAAAACTGTTTTATTCCCCTCACTTTTTATAGACTTGTTTAGTGTCTTCGGGTCGTGATGCAAATGTTGTCCCATCTAGAGATACTCCCTTACCATGCTATTTAAAGTGACCTTTCTGGGGCTGCAGATTTAGCTCTGTGGTTCCACTGCCTGACCCGCAAGTGCAAGGACCCGAGTTCAATCCCCGGTAACAAATACATACATACATACATACATACATAAATAAAATGACCTTTCCAGCTCTGCCCCATCTCTCAACCTTCCTCTTTTCTGCCCTCCCCACTTCTGTGCAAGCTCCTAGCATGGAAAGACAGAATGTTATGGGTCTTGTTCACCACAGCTCCTTATAGAAAACCCTGGCACATGACAGGCACTGAGTAAATATTGTGAAATGATTGAATAACCTGGAGATAAATACTATATTATTGCTAATTGCATTTCTCTGTAACCCCACCACTCCACTGGATAAAGGAGGAGGAGGTAACTACTATTTTCCCTTCTTCCTCCTCGTCCCAGGTCTGTGTCAGTGTAATTGCATTGCTGGACAATTTGTGAATAAAGTTCAAATGTAATGTTAATATAACTCTTTAATTTGTATTTCAATTAGGTGGTTCACAGAGACTTGAAACCTAGCAACATTCTTTATGTGGATGAATCTGGTAATCCAGAATCTATTCGAATTTGTGATTTTGGCTTTGCAAAACAGCTAAGAGCAGAAAATGGTCTTCTCATGACTCCTTGTTACACTGCAAATTTTGTTGCACCAGAGGTAATGTGAGAGAGTTTGCTTGCAGTGTTTTGTTGTATTTAAGAACTTGTTTATTGTATTTAATACAGAACAGTAATTGTTTAATTGAAGGTTTACTAAACAAATATTAGGATAAAATATTAGCCCTTTATTTCCCTGTTTGATATTTTAATGACATCTGATTGCCTACAGGAGAAAAATCTAAATTCCTTAATAAGATATTACAAAAGCTCTTCAGTCTCTTATCTCCTACCTGAAGTTCTAGCCTCTCTGAAATTCTTGCCTAATCACTAAGGTTGCTCTACCCTTTGAATATCGTCTGCCCTCCCCCACTTACTCCTTTTGCCTAGTGAATTCTTACTTATGGGTCCAATACAAACTGGCTGCCATCTAGCCTTTCCTCTCCCCCAGTATCAAGAACAAATTGGGCTAGGGGTGTGGCTCAATGGTAGAACACTTGCCTAGCATGTGAGAAGCCCTGGGTTTGACCCCCAGCTCTGCAAAAAAAAAAAAGAATAAATTACTTCTTCATCATTGATATCCATAGAACTTAAGGCATGATTTATTTATAATACTTATTATGTTGAATAGTTAGCTATATGTTTATTTCCAGTGCCAGATTCTGATTTTTTTTAGGAAATTGGTTTATTTGTCATAGCTTATGGCTGATAATAGTTGGTGATTGTTAAATGCTTGAGCGAATCAATATATAAGTAGTATTTTGCATTATATCATTTGTACTGGGTTATGTGTGTTCTTAAAATTATTGTTAGTTGTAACCATTTCTATAACTCTATACAAAATATAAATTCATTAACATGAGAAATTTATCTTCAATTTGTTCTATATTCCTCTGTGTAACTACAGCACAATAAATGTTCAAATACCATATATCTATATATGAGTTATTAGTAGTAGGATGTTCTAGAATAAGAGTCACATATTCCCTTGTTAATCATGTTCTGTTAAAGGTTTTCTTATATGCATTGACTTGGAAAATACTTCAGTTCATAGCCTATCCAACAAGTGAAACAATGGAAATGTATATAGAACCATTAGTTCTTACAAGATTTAATTATATCAAGATACATGAATTTAACTTAGTCTTTTATAGGCAAACTATTCATTTTTGTCCATTTTACTGTTTATTAAAATAATATCCCTCTCCTACATACTCTTTTCTTGACCCAAATGAAATAAATACTAATCTAAGGTCAAGATGAGGAGAGAGAAACAACTGAAATGAATGTCTTAACTAAAATAACCAATAAATTTTGTCAAACTAAAAAAAAAAAACAATGTATAGTAACACTAATCTTTTACTTTCTCTAGGTTTTAAAAAGACAAGGCTATGATGCTGCTTGTGATATATGGAGTCTTGGTGTCCTCCTCTATACAATGCTTACTGGGTGAGTATATACCATATATTACAAGCATTTATGTGTCAATATTTTCCTTAAACTATGTAGCTATTTTTTAAAATCCTTACGTTGTGATGTATTTCTATGTTTTCTCATGCTATCTTTATATATATATATATTCCTATAATAATACATTTATAGCTATGTCATTAATGTCTTGAGGTCTTAAATTTATTTTTCCATCTTTTCGGAATTAAATGGTACTTATATT